GGGGATCGAAATTTCGTGCTACGATAAGAAAGTTTTAGGCACATGCCCGATACGCCACTGATGCAGACCTATTTATACCATTCAAATGACGACTTCTAACGGAAATGTGAGGCAGTGGCCATGTCGGTACGTCTAATGTGTTCTGAGCACAAGATGAAACCATAACAGGAAATGTCTGTCTGGAACTACTGCGCAGATTCCTATAAAAGAATTATCTGGGCACGGACTAGAGATCTTCAGCTCTCCATGGCTACAGCTCACTGACACTGGGAGGGAACCAATATCTTGTATCTAACTATAGCACTACGGTCAGGGGTCTATGAGGGACCCTAACGTGATCGAGGGGGCACATTATCACGTCCCCTCGATTGCATAATCCATGGAAATGGTAAGTTGCAGTTCTCACCTTGCAAGAGAGTGTGATCCTGACTGGCATGTCTTCCGGAATCAGAGTTCGCTGGAACACAAGAAAAGCAATTTCTCATTTCAACTTTCCTTCGACAGGCATCGCGCACTAACGGTTTACACTGAAAGATACGAGGGACAGATTTTTGGAGTGCAACACATGAAGAGTAGTTTTATACCAACGTACCTAACAACAGACGTTTGTCCTCCTCTTGCGCTCAAAATCCAGTCGCAACCACCGCGCAAAAGAGAAACAAAAAGTAGGCATTAGAAAAAATTACAACTTACTAAACACGAACACAAACGTAAGTACCAAAACACTGTACGCACCTTTATTGCTGAGAAGACGACGGACCAGCGTTCCTGTATCACAGAGTAAGGCAGTAGCACGCTGCGACGTAATATCGACCGAACGACGCGTCAGTGCTTAGTGCTACAGGAGATAGCAATGGTCTGCATCCTGAGTATTCAAATGCTTCCTTGCCAGTAAATTCAATGAACTTTATTCAACAGCGCAGCTGATCTCTTCCGAGAGCAGTGACGACGTCCACTTGCCACCGAAGGAAATTTAAACACCGGCACCACACAGGAAAAAGAACCTCTTCGACCACTATTTGCTCCCGGGGTATCAAAGAAGAAGAATCTGTAGGCGGTACACTGGATGTCTTCTGGTTTCCATGGCTACAGATTAATGACTAACTCCGTCTTCCACGTCAAGCTGATAACCTGGGCCATTTACTGAAGGCCACCAAATGTTCCGCCAGGTACAGCAGCTTCCATCTTCAGAGTGAACAACGTCGTCACTCTTAGCTTTATCCATAACCTGACGATGACTGCCTCCTGGGATAATGCATAATCACCCTGAAGATGCACGCAGTAAGCACCTCTGAAATGTTAGTCGATTTCTACCAGACTACATGGCACGACATCTGAGAAAAGAGTCGCTATCCTCACACTTGACGGCGAGAAATCATCAGTTACTCATCGCCTGTTTCATCAAATGACACGGTGGCTCTCCGCCTGACAGCATCTCGCCCTCACCACCCTGAAGATGACCACGCAAATATCTGCTGAAACATAGGAATATCTTCGACGCTCGATGCAGTTTATCGATAACGAAGGCGTCAATCTGCTTCCGAGTTACAACGAGCCCCGTCTGATACTACAACTCCCACACGTCCCAAAACACCAACACTTTACAGTTTCATCAGAAATCTTTACACAACGAGGCAAGCCAACAACAGCCTCGTTGGTATATCAACGCTCTGCAGATGGCAACACGGGCGCCTGACGACTGGACCTTCAGTCCACCAGAGCAGAGTCCCTTAAAAGTCAACCTAAACTGGAACCAAATCGAAACAACGATCAACGGAACCTCCACTGCGACAGCCCCGAAGCAAAAATTAAAATATACGAACAATTCGGCTAGACCAAAGGCAAAGAAGCGAGAATCTCACGACTGGTTTTCTAATTCGCGTAAATCATAAATAAGTTAAGAGACGGCACTACTATGCAGCCTCTAGCAGTAAGCACTGTGGTCGTCAGTCCGAATGCCGCTGTTTAACAATATTCACATTAAAGCTTTCATTACAAAACTTAACAAAATCACAAGGCACTTTACATTTCACAGACTCAGTCCCTATTTACATTAGTCGTAATCCATTTCATCCAAAGACGCTGCGAAAGTAGCGTGACTGCGCATTCGGATCCCGAAGACAACGCGGTGGCATTTCGTCACTGCCGACCGGACCGAATTTCAGTCACACGCGAGTTTCTGCTCTGGTCCATCATTTACCGGAGCTCTCGTCCAATGAGCGCGTTATTACAGTCTCGACAGGGCAGCGGAAGACGTGATCAAACCAAGCAGGTTAGCACAGAGATCAAGACACGGGTGAGAACGTGACTGAAACTGACGAGGTTGGGCGCCGAGGCCTCGCAACGACAGACCAGATGGACGAAACGGTACGTTAAAAGATTTTCGGTTTCTCACCGAGTGTTTTATGTCAGTAAGGTGGGGGGGGGGGGGGGATCGAAATTTCGTGCTACGATAAGAAAGTTTTAGGCACATGCCCGATACGCCACTGATGCAGACCTATTTATACCATTCAAATGACGACTTCTAACGGAAATGTGAGGCAGTGGCCATGTCGGTACGTCTAATGTGTTCTGAGCACAAGATGAAACCATAACAGGAAATGTCTGTCTGGAACTACTGCGCAGATTCCTATAAAAGAATTATCTGGGCACGGACTAGAGATCTTCAGCTCTCCATGGCTACAGCTCACTGACACTGGGAGGGAACCAATATCTTGTATCTAACTATAGCACTACAGTCAGGGGTCTATGAGGGACCCTAACGTGATCGAGGGGGCACATTATCACGTCCCCTCGATTGCATAATCCATGGAAATGGTAAGTTGCAGTTCTCACCTTGCAAGAGAGTGTGATCCTGACTGGCATGTCTTCCGGAATCAGAGTTCGCTGGAACACAAGAAAAGCAATTTCTCATTTCAACTTTCCTTCGACAGGCATCGCGCACTAACGGTTTACACTGAAAGATACGAGGGACAGATTTTTGGAGTGCAACACATGAAGAGTAGTTTTATACCAACGTACCTAACAACAGACGTTTGTCCTCCTCTTGCGCTCAAAATCCAGTCGCAACCACCGCGCAAAAGAGAAACAAAAAGTAGGCATTAGAAAAAATTACAACTTACTAAACACGAACACAAACGTAAGTACCAAAACACTGTACGCACCTTTATTGCTGAGAAGACGACGGACCAGCGTTCCTGTATCACAGAGTAAGGCAGTAGCACGCTGCGACGTAATATCGACCGAACGACGCGTCAGTGCTTAGTGCTACAGGAGATAGCAATGGTCTGCATCCTGAGTATTCAAATGCTTCCTTGCCAGTAAATTCAATGAACTTTATTCAACAGCGCAGCTGATCTCTTCCGAGAGCAGTGACGACGTCCACTTGCCACCGAAGAAAATTTAAACACCGGCACCACACAGGAAAAAGAACCTCTTGGACCACTATTTGCTCCCGGGGTATCAAAGAAGAAGAATCTGTAGGCGGTACACTGGATGTCTTCTGGTTTCCATGGCTACAGATTAATGACTAACTCCGCCTTCCACGTCAAGCTCATAACCTGGGCCATTTACTGAAGGCGCATGGCTACAGATTAATGACTAACTCCGTCTTCCACGTCAAGCTGATAACCTGGGCCATTTACTGAAGGCCACCAAATGTTCCGCCAGGTACAGCAGCTTCCATCTTCAGAGTGAACAACGTCGTCACTCTTAGCTTTATCCATAACCTGACGATGACTGCCTCCTGGGATAATGCATAATCACCCTGAAGATGCACGCAGTAAGCACCTCTGAAATGTTAGTCGATTTCTACCAGACTACATGGCACGACATCTGAGAAAAGAGTCGCTATCCTCACACTTGACGGCGAGAAATCATCAGTTACTCATCGCCTGTTTCATCAAATGACACGGTGGCTCTCCGCCTGACAGCATCTCGCCCTCACCACCCTGAAGATGACCACGCAAATATCTGCTGAAACATAGGAATATCTTCGACGCTCGATGCAGTTTATCGATAACGAAGGCGTCAATCTGCTTCCGAGTTACAACGAGCCCCGTCTGATACTACAACTCCCACACGTCCCAAAACACCAACACTTTACAGTTTCATCAGAAATCTTTACACAACGAGGCAAGCCAACAACAGCCTCGTTGGTATATCAACGCTCTGCAGATGGCAACACGGGCGCCTGACGACTGGACCTTCAGTCCACCAGAGCAGAGTCCCTTAAAAGTCAACCTAAACTGGAACCAAATCGAAACAACGATCAACGGAACCTCCACTGCGACAGCCCCGAAGCAAAAATTAAAATATACGAACAATTCGGCTAGACCAAAGGCAAAGAAGCGAGAATCTCACGACTGGTTTTCTAATTCGCGTAAATCATAAATAAGTTAAGAGACGGCACTACTATGCAGCCTCTAGCAGTAAGCACTGTGGTCGTCAGTCCGAATGCCGCTGTTTAACAATATTCACATTAAAGCTTTCATTACAAAACTTAACAAAATCACAAGGCACTTTACATTTCACAGACTCAGTCCCTATTTACATTAGTCGTAATCCATTTCATCCAAAGACGCTGCGAAAGTAGCGTGACTGCGCATTCGGATCCCGAAGACAACGCGGTGGCATTTCGTCACTGCCGACCGGACCGAATTTCAGTCACACGCGAGTTTCTGCTCTGGTCCATCATTTACCGGAGCTCTCGTCCAATGAGCGCGTTATTACAGTCTCGACAGGGCAGCGGAAGACGTGATCAAACCAAGCAGGTTAGCACAGAGATCAAGACACGGGTGAGAACGTGACTGAAACTGACGAGGTTGGGCGCCGAGGCCTCGCAACGACAGACCAGATGGACGAAACGGTACGTTAAAAGATTTTCGGTTTCTCACCGAGTGTTTTATGTCAGACTGAGCTGAACAGGTGACTGAGTACACACGATGGATCAAAGGTGCATGTAAATTAAAAATTTTTGCAAGAAAAATGGTATATGACAGCCACACGCCAGAGTGGAACGAGCGCATTTAAATGAAATGGCTAGAGGACCAACTGCCCTATTGAGACATATTGAACGTTCCTTCAGTTTATACTAGTTCGTACCCACGGCCAACAGAGTTACCAGACAGCGCTTACTTTGTGCTGTTTGCTCAACTTTTACAACACGGAGACCGTTCAACTAATGAGTTCCCAGAGTTAAAAAATAAATTAATTATATAATGAACTAAGCAATTAGAAAAACAAATGTACTTCGAAAATCTACGTTAGTGATACAACCAGATGAAGGTAATGTAAAAAAAAAAATCAGTTCTTTTCTTAAATTTGCAAACTATATAATTTTCTTCAAAAATCGAAAAACCCAGCGCATAGGCTTGAAGCCCCAACATTTAATAAATGCGCACACTTAAATGCCTGACAGTGCACGAGATAAGTTGATATCATTAGGGTACGTTGTCGACACAGCACAAATTAAACACTGTGCACAAATTAACGAAGCTAATGTAAACAGGGACAACCGTACAAATTCAGCGGGAGCACCGCAGCTCTGCTCCGCACGTAAAATACTGTACGTCTCCGAAAACTAGAAATTCCTGAGTTTTTCCTCAGTCTCATCAACCACAAATCTCATCACAAAATATAAATGTACAAACTGTCACCAGCTTTTAATTGTACCTTAAATAGAAAATACCTTGTTCGTAAAACAATACTACGTAATCTATGACAAAATCTGATTTAGTGGCAGTTACGTATTTTTAACATAAAACCCAAAAATGAGGTCTCTTGCACGTTAAAACTATAATAAACACAACAATCAGTAAGACAATAAAAATGTTTAACATGACTAAATGCAAGGCAGGCCAACTTATATTCTTCGGATTAGTCACATCACAGATCGCATATCACAGTTTGTGCTGCAAATATTCTTTTACTGCAAGGCTAATTGAGATGTGATGACTCCCAATCATTAGGAATAATTATCTCATAATTTGCTTGGGCAGCTTCAAAGTAAACTGACTAAGCTACGTCCAGTCTCACGAATTGATGCGCTACATCACAATCGGGCAATAGATAACTAAATTTCTAAACAGTCTAAAAGGCGGTGAAAGAATCCGCCGTGAAAAGCAGACACGAACATACAACATTTGTAAGTCACAGGCACACAATTGCCTTACGATGAACACGGCGCTTCGAAACAGCACTGGCACCATGTCTCATTTAAAAAGGAAATTTAAAATTCTAAACTACGCATACAGAACGCAGTCTCATGCGTAACCACTCACAGACTTTGTAAATTATTGTATTTTGAAAAGGATCAAAACAAAATCTTTTACAGAATAAACTTTGAATCCTTTATTTATGCAAAGTTTTTTTTAAAAAGTCTACAATTCCTTGAGTCGTCCATTTTGCTTGATTTCAAGCATGAGAGAAAGAACACAATCACTAAAACACAATTAAAATAACAAAACACTCGATGATATTAGCCCATCTGTTTGCTTACGTGGTATTAAAAAGAAGTAAATTGCCTTAATTACGTACCTAACAGTGGCCACGGAACAAAACATTGCCTACAATTACATAGGATATCCACGTACGAGTACGGGTCATACCAAACCTTGGAACGATTAACAAAGCAGCATCCAAAGAAAATGCATTTTAAAAGAGATGAGCGCAGTCCGTGAGAAACACAGAAAGTCGGAGTGAAAATTGAAAAGTGCTCAAAGTTCACAGGGGCATATGTGAGAACTATTAATGAGCACAAACTGAAACCAATTAACACTAATTTATTCTGAAAATAACAGAGTAAGCCCTGCATGACGCCAGACTCTCTTAGGCATTGACACGCGGCCACATTTTCTTTAAATACTCGCGAATAATCCACGGTTAGTCGTACGTTAATAGATCGTAAACGAATGCAAATCCATACAGTGGAGGCATGGAATGCATTCCACAATACATGAAAGTTACACATTTCATCATTAAACTTTACACACACAATTAGCCTTGCAATGAACATGGGTCACTGACCATCTCTTACACAGCAAGAGAAAACCGCTGTCCGTCATTTGGTGTTCCCAAAACTTACATCTCTGTAATTCTATGAATATAAACAGCGCTGGTTAGCATGAATTTTTATACTTTTATATTTTAGTAGATCTTTTGCATTACAAAAAAATTTCATTAATTTGGATTCAGTCTGGTAATCTGCATAACCACAACCGTCTCCGTCGAGTGAAGACGAGGACAGAGAACGTCAGAACACCGTAAACAAGTAACACTGGTTTTCTGTACACTCTCTTCCACCGCAACATGATTACCGAAGCCTTCGCAATATTTCTTTGCGGCTTCTGAACACACAGCGCCGTCAGTCTAGGGGCGTATTAAACGGGACCGTGCGCCGGTGGGTACGGGCCAAAATAAATGGCCGTGCTCCCAAAACAGGAATGTAGAAAGTTAAGAGACATAAAAAAGTACAAGCAGTCAAAATGTGATTAAAATAATACGGACTAAAGAGAAGACCACACACGGCACGATCTGCGAGATATTTGGAAAACACAAAGAACTAACAAGAGAAAGAAGTTAAAAACTTAAAAACATTGTAAACCAAAAGGAAAACTGTTCTGCTTTATAAATTCCCTGCCCATGGCAGCGACTCGGCATCCAAATAAAAAACCGTTGCGTTAACCATTAATCTAAGGAAATATTTTCACAAAGTATTTCTGATCTTGTTCGTTCTTTTACAATCACACTTTCCTTCCCTGGTAATTCTCCTACGGCACGCCAGTGTTTGTGTGATAAAATAACATTCCGTTCATAAATATGAACAACTCGTGCTTCAAATTCCTGCCACGTTACACGCAGAAAACCTTCTGACTTATTAGAATTCTGCATGTAACGTATCTTAAGATTTGCAAATTCATTTCTTACACCTGGTAATAATTGCACACGCCCTTATCAAATGGGAAAGCTGGGAACATGCGACATAAACATCTTACTGACCGACATCCTCTCATTATTGCTCTGTATTTTCATTTGTATTCTTCCCCTATACAAGTGATTTATGACACAGTGGTTTGACGGAAACTTCACCATATAAATTCATATCACGGACAATATTAGAATTACTAATAAAATTCAAATCTGTTTCTTTTTTCTCATTGTCTAAAAAGACAAAAGCCTCCATTCTCCTACGAATACAACACAAAATAACGGTAAATAATTGGTTCATATTATTCTGAGGAACCCCGCATCTTCAGACGCTAACTACGCCGGGAGGAACGTAGAATTCACTGTTCGGTAACAGATATCCCGATAACAGCGAATAATGGCAGAAGAAATTAGACCCTGGAACACACAGCAGGGGCATGGACCAAATCAGAGCTAACGATTCAGTCCACAAATCAGATGACAGCGAGCGATAGCAGAGTTTTATGAAGACTGTCAGAGCTCCATATATACATATATATTTATATATGAGAAGTAAATGCAACACTGAGAGCAGACACAAAACAACAGCCACATTGGCTGCCTGTCTGTTCAAATACTTCGTCAAGTAGAGGCAACGATGACTGCCAAAAATTTCTATATTCTCTTTGAGATAGCAACAGGCTCGTGAGAATTACTGAGTTACGAGGGATACAGAGATCAACGAGAGGTCAATGATTTTACGCTGGTAGCGTTTGTAGAATGTAGCCGCTGACGTCGGGTTCGTAAACCTGAGAACGGCACGTCGCTGCTTTGGCAACATCTGAATATTCTGCAAGATAAGAAGAATAATCACCGGCAAGTTACAATGATTGCTAAGGTGATGGCCGATACAACAGAAAATTCAACAAATCATCGACATGCTTGCAATAATTAGACTTGTATACTATTATCTGTGCTCTATAACACAAGACAGACAGGGTACCAACTTCACGGGCCTGTGAATCAGAAAAGGTGGGAATCTCCGAGTTAGATGGATTCTGACTTGCCTCAAGGACCCCAATGCCTTGGCAGAGTGTCTTCAGCTGCTGCTCAGTTGTGCTCGCTGCCAAGTTCTCGACAGACACCACCTTGGTTCTGGGCAGCACCGGCTGCTGAGTCCCTACGTCCTGTTGCTGTGGGGGCGTCACTTTTGTCGTCACAACTGATCGACCACCGCCCTACAAGTTCATTGCACAACTTAGCGAGATCAGTGGCACTCTTATTTACATACAGATGCTCATCGAGTTTATAGTTATTATGCATCGCTGCCTGCAATGACTGATCAACGTACGTCCATATTTGTAAAAATGTGTAATGACATACAGAACGACCAATAAAGAATGGGTAACTGGAAGCTATATACAATGTTTAAAACTGATTTTAACGTGGTACTTTGCAATTAAGGTCTAAATAACTTAATATTGAAATAAATTCCTGTGTTATCAATTGACATTCATAACGCATACTAACAGTTTGTCGGGTTGGAACCCCTTGCTGCTGCACTACAATCCTCTGCTGCGGCTGCTGCTGCTGAACTGGCTTCACTCCGCTGTTTGCTCCACGAAGCACCACGGTACATGCCCTTGAAGGTTGCTGTATCACCTGTCGAGGCACTGCCGCCACCTGGTGACCAGAGCTCTGTGCAAGCACCAGTCTACGTGGTGTTGTAGCTGGCTGGTTCACTACATTGCCGGGCTGCGGGGCTCGGACGATTCTTTGTCCCGCGGGCAAAACCTAAAAATTTACGCTAATGCAGAGCTCACTAATATCATATAAGGTCAAGTTCACCTGTTACAGATATTACAAGTCGGGGAATTTAAGCGTATATAACAATTCTGGTAGTGGTCACGCGTGAATGAAATGCTAATGCAGTAAGGAAATTAGATAAGTAAGTTATGCTGTTGATACATAAGAAAATACAAAGTCAAGGATTTCATCTGAATACAAGAAAACACAGCCAGCCAGCTTTACTTCCCCTCCGAAGGAAGTTGTGCTATGGATTTTTATCACCCTTAAAAATCCATCGCCCTCGGCCAGGTTTGAACCCGCGAACCTTGGGTCCAGTGGCACTAGTCACTAGTTCACCAAGGGTGACTGTCAATAACCTACATAAACTCAAACTTATAAAGCTGTCACCATGTCTTGAAGCTTGTAACATATCATCTCACAGGAATGCAAGAAACGTAGCCTCTACGATCTTTTGTGCGCATACCTTCATCTGCTGCGGTGGTAGCGCAACCACCTGCTGCTGCTGCTGCTGCTGAGTTGTCAATCCCTGATGACCCCTGCCAATACCACGTCCCCTACCTGCACCCCTTCCACCCCTAACCTGTCTCACACCACCACCAACTGATGTAAGCACGGGTGGTGCTAGTGGCAGCTCCGCATCCTGGTACAGCTGTGGCTGTTGCTGAGCGCTGACGCGGTTCTTCAAATTCTGAGCCTGAATGTTCTGCTGTGGCATCTGTTGCTGGACAACTTGGCGAACTACTGGGTGATGTATCACAGGCTGGGGCTCCACAGTGTTGCGGTTCACGATCGTCGCAATTGCGTTGCCCTGTGGGGGGTCCAACACAAATTTGGAAGCATCACCTGCAACAGAGAATAGTAAATCTAATCAGACCAGTTAATTTAGATGTCAGGGTACTACATTCCACTGTGACCAGCATGGAAAAGGGTTAAAGTGTTTTTATTATATAATTACTGAGCAGGTTCGCTGAAAACACATCAGTTATTCTGAACTACTTCTTGACGTTCCTCACTCACTCCAGACAATTATTCGGTAAGAACTTTTCCCTATGCCATAGCCGTTTCATTATAATGAATGCCATCTACAGCTAATAAATCATTATTAAACAAACAAACCAACCAGCCAATCATTCTCCTTTTCACAACAACCACTATCTCACCTGTATCAGATGCAAATAGTCACAGTAACACGGTAACACCACAAATCTCATAGTACAAATCAGAATCACGGCCAAACAATACACGTAGCTTGGTGACACCCAAATATGTGATACAAAGCTGAATTTAAAATTTCTCAGAAGAAGAAATGTTTACAAAGAAATATTGTATGAAACATTTTCAAACTCAGGATCATAAAAGCAGTAGATTTTTAATACACAAAATGAAAATGATTCATATGACATAAAGAACGGTTCACCTCCTGCTTGAATATCCACATCCTTCCTCTGCAATTCACGCAGCTTCTCCAGAGCTGCCAACTTGCGCCTCTCCTCCTTCAGCTGAAGGAACTTCTCCCGCTCCTGCTTCTGCTGCTCGATCTTCTTACGGTACTCTCGCGTCTCCTCGTCCTCCTCTTCCTCAGGCTGCCAACACAAAAGCACAGTGCTGCCAATCTCTCACAGTGATAAACATTTTGATTCTGCACAATAAAATCCTCTCGGGCTATCAGCCGCGTCAAGTGGTTAAAACATGAAGAGACCAACGTTTCGAGGTCCATCTCTGTCCTCGTCCTCAGGGTACTTCAACCCGAGAGGATTTTATTGTACACAGTCGCCGTGAAAGCTCAAGATCATACATTTTGATTCCGGTCATCTTGGTTATGACAGTCTTGTTGCTTAACAACATTTTGGAGGAAACTAAAGCCTCCATATTCACGACAGAAGAGGGAATTATTTCTGCTGTAAAAATGAAGGTAATATATTCCTCTGAAACATGTGTAACAACTTACAAAACTGCATGGCATCACAACTGAGAAGGCAACAATCCACATATAACTAAAGAATACTCAAACACCGTCCCGCGCGGTCTGAGGCATCATGCTTCAGACTGGTGATAAGGAATGCGTGGAGGTTTGAGTCTCGTGGAAAGAAATTTCTCATGAGATTTTCGACCGGTGCCAACCCAGCATTGTGAGGAAATTGGGGAGCTACAATGGGTAGCATAATCCAATCATGAAAACTAGCAATGGCTGGGGTTCATCGTGCTGACCACACGTCACCCTATATCTGGTTGGATGATCATTCACCTCTGCTTAGGCATGTGAACGTGAGGCCAGCAGCCAGGTAGTCGGCTTTGGCTCTCAGAGGGCGGTTATGCTTATTATTATTAATATTATAATCAAACACCACATTCATCAAAATCAGCTGAGTGGTTTTGGTGAAAAAAACAAGTGGAATGGTGACCAGACAGAACTGACCTCTGCACTAAGCATTCATTTTTTCTACATCATGTAAAGTATGCTTAGAAATCATTGCGGAGAACTTGTCAGAAAGAACACTGCACTGACTTATTCTGACATTAAACTTAAAAAAGCTTAATTCTGTGCAACAGTTAACTCTGTAATGGAAACCATGCTACGAGAGGAAAGAAAAACTTTAAAATTTCTTCATTCAAGAAATTAAAGTATAAGCTAACCAAATAAATATGCAAAGGCGCACAACATGAAAACCGAACAGATTCCCACTCTTCCCTCAACAGTCGCTACATAGTCAGTCTGCTCTTAGCCATGTTGCAGTTAACATTAGCTACCAGTCCAGATGCCGAAAAAGTCATACTAGAAAAAAGGTTCATTTCCCTGCCCAATGCCCGTCTGTCCAACTTTCTCTTTCCTGTACTGCAGAAGTCACCTGGTCCAGATTATAACACAAGAAGAAGCTTTACCTGAAGTACCTCGGAGTTCATGTCAGATGGCAGCATGTCCACAGTTTGAACCTCATGTAGATTGCTCATATCTGGCATTCTCTGTGACAAGAATAAATTATTGTTATTAATCAGACAATTGTGCACATTTCCTTTAACATTTGTAGAAATACATTCAAAATATTGGCAGAAAAAGCTCAAAGGAACAAATTTTAGAGTTTTAGAAGTCGACTGAAGAATATGTTAAAATTAATCCTAGAGAAGCGGGTTGTGAAGATGTGCACTGGAATCAGAGCAATAAGTATAACAGCTAAATAATGCAGCCTACACACACACATCATTAAAATAACATGTAACCAAAACCAATTAAGTGCACAGAGCACCCAAATTAAAATACCTTCTTTCTTTTAGCTGCTACATCAAAACGAACTTGTTTGAACTGGGTATTCCCTCCAGCACCTGCGTCGAACGAAGACCTCTTTTTAGGCGATCGGACTGGCTGCTGCAGTAAGTTCTGCTGGTGCACAGGGCCACTGGGGGGGTGTCTCAACTGGATCTGCTGCTGCTGAACATTCATCTGTATGCCAGGAGGGAATCGAGATACTGCCCGAGATGATCTGCCACCCTGATTCACGTAGCCGGGGCCGGCTGGATGACGATACGGGACTGGGCCAGGCTGACGAAATTTCATGGGACCCGGGGCTCCACTTGGCGGTGGTAACCGATATATTCCCTAAACAAAACACGTCACGTCTTGTAAAATTTGAGGTTTCCACGGCGGCGACGACAATGATAATGTTCTTCTGGGTTTGGTTCAAGTGCCACGTGGACTGGTTGGTAGAAGCCAACATTTCAAAGAGGTGTGCTACATCCATCTTTGGAGATGGAAGTGTACACTGGACAAACTGCATATTCAATTCAGACAACGGTTAAACAGCATCACTGACACATCTGTCTGTATCATCCCAAGTCTGTGGTGGATGTGGAATACAGCATCCCAGCATCATCACTTGAGCCCTGAAGATGGAGATAGTACACTTCTCCAAACTGTTGGCTTCTTCCAACTATTCCACACAGCACCTATACCCAGAAGAACATCATCATTATAAACATCCTGTTCACCTCGATAAAGGCAGATCCTAAAAACATGAGACGGAATACTAAAATCTTCAAGTACAAAAACTGAAGGCACGACAACGATCAATCCGCTCAGGCAACATGTTCATGCTCACTACGGGAGCAAAACACAAACAACACTGAATGCAAAACCAAGAAGCAATCACTCTGAGGAACAAGACAAAGCAAGTCTTAAGTAAAACAACACTGAATGCAAAAACAAGCAGTAATCACTCTGAGGAACAAGACAAAACAAGTCTTAAGTGCAGTCCAGCATCACACATATTGCACTAGCACGCCACTAAACTGTTAACCACAGACTTGAAGTCCGCCCAACAGCCCCATAGGATGAGGGTTTGAGCAACCTTTTCCCCACATAACAATGTTAATAAGACTGCATTTATGTCAGAAAACTTCAAGCTTGTAAGTTATCATCACGATGCCAGGAAAATGGATCTGTCAGAGGAACCATCACCTGGAAACCATTATTTTACAAAACTGAATCACACAATCTATGTCAGTTCCAGCTATCTAGAACAGCTACAGTCCGCAGGTCATTACCTGACTGTGATACTGTGATGGTACAGGATGAGTGGCTGATACAAGTTGCAAGCTATCATCAGTGCTGCCATCTGTAGCACAGTGCCACACATTCGCCTCCATCAGTAGCAGCAAAGAATCACAGAAATCAAAGACAGTGCAAACATACATGATTCAAAAACGTTACTAAAGAAATACTTGAATACTCAGATAAGCAACATTTTCGTAATCCAAAAACTTGTCATCCTGACCTGATGAATTTCTAGATTTCAAAAGTAAAAGGCAGAATTTTGAGTATACTAACGGTATACTGCGCATGCATTTCATGCAATTTTATATACCTCGGTTGTCTCCACACCGAATTAATTTCTGCGTAAAACCTATTATAAAACAAGCAATTATGACAATTCTGTTGTTCATTTTCTGTTTGACAATGATAAATGCAAAGAGAGTTAAGTAATGCCTTAACTGTTAAGCCAGAACTCTAAACCAAAGGAAAGGACGCGGATCAAGGATGTCTGAGAACGCGGTTCTGAGCACAACATCCGAACCCAGGACAGATAAAGAGACGGGATGAAGAAAAGTGCATAAAGACGAGTGTTGTAATTTGTACTCCTTGCCAAATATTATTACAGCGATTAAATCAAGGAGGATGAGACAGTCACGGCACATACCGTACATCAGAAAGAAGAGAAATGTGTACAAAATTTTAGTTGGAAATCATGAAGGAAAAAAAGTAATTAAATAATTTTGTAGTACTGAAATTCTGTATTGGAATAAAGGCAGACCACAAAGTTATCTAATAATTCACTTATACAAGACTGATTATTTGCCCACATACTACTGAATATGTTTCTGCTTACCATCACTGGCGGTGGGGGATGGTGATTACCCGGAGACACCGCTGATGGCGGAGGATGGTAATGTTGCTGGGGAGGCAATGCCTCGTGAAACATTCCCTGCTGCTGTGACACAGTCTCGTACTGCATCATTCCTCCTCCAAACACATGCTGGCCGTGGTTTATGCTCGGCTCTCCCATCCCGTGGTTAGGATGGTGAAACACGGGGCTGTGTTGCATGTTAGACTCCATGCCGATCGGGACTGATGTCGGCTGTGCGTACATGTCACCACCCACTTGCTGCAGTGGATCACGACTGTCCTGCCAGTGCAGAGTACTACATTGCTCCTGAAAGAAATGCTGAAGATAGTATGATAAAAACAAGAAAGCACAAGAAAGGTGTTTCATTTATATATGAAACTGCCTGGAAATTAAGCACACATCAGTCAGATGACAGGTAATTTGATCAAGGCCATGGCTCATCTCAGACATCAGGGGCACAGTAAAACAAGTTTGATTGTAATGTCCCAGATTTTATAAGAACATCAATCAAAGCCTCGGACAGACGGACCTAACAGAGGACCGAATGGAAGAGGAGAATTGAGGAGGCCGTGGACCAAATACGGACCGGAGAGCCATAAAAGAAGAAGATTTTATAAGATGGTCTTAACTGTTATAGTTCTGTAGCACCACTGGGAGAAGACAGAGGCCAGACAATACGAGAATGAGACAGACAGGAAGAGAGTTTATGGGGGTAATGGGTGAACCACTGACAACAAAACAACGCAGAAGACATTGAATCAATTTTAGATTAACAAACTTATTAGTTATCTGGTTGTTAGAATCGCACACTGGAGACGACACAGTTTTGGCAGTGAGAGTAGAAAGAAGCCACGAACGACAAGCTGTAACTGAAACTAAAACAAGGCAGCTTCTAGTGATGTGGTTAATCAACCTTCAGAGACAGGAGGTATAAATAAAGTAATTGATCCATGTTGCGTAGTAGTGGTACTCACTGCATAGGGCTGTTCCATGTGGTAATAGCCCCCTTGCTGTGAAGGCGAGTCATAACGCAGAGGTGGTGCCATTTGGTGGGGATCATGTTGAGATGGCGGCTGAAACTGCTGCCCTGCGTACCCACCTCCAGGTGGCGCGGTCTGGTAAGCAGGTTCCAAAGGCTGAACTGGCATCAGTGCCTGTGGTTGTGACTGCAGCAGGGTTTGGTTAGCTGGCATCTCAGTATCCCAGATCAGTCTTGCTGCAATGAATAAAGTAAAAGTACAAAAACTGCATAAAATCAAGTACGTACGAAAGAAGAAACGCATGAAAATCACTCCCAGCGGCATAGTGCATTTTGGACTTCAAAAGGTTTGCAGGATTAGACTTTGTAGGAATTGAAACTACTCATAATATCAGCACATATTTTATAATTAAACCAAACTGCGTTACCTTCAGGATGCGGTTGCACGGCCCCTCTGAAGTGCGGATTGATGAGAATCTTGTGAGGTGACTGCTGCTGATTCAACTGGGGTCGACCGTACATGCCTCCTCTGGCACCTGGACGAGCAGCTGGGTGCACGAAGTTGCCTGGCCCAAAACGGGGCCCAACAAACCCCTGCTGTTGCTGCTGAAGTGGATGAATATTTAAATTGCCAGCCCCTACTGGAAACTGTGGTCGTGGACCCCCACCACGTCCTACAAACCCTCCTCTACCCCTGCGTCCTCCTCTCCATGTTCCATCCCTTCTTGCCATCTGCTTAGCATCTTCCACACACACATTGTCTAAGACAAAGAATATTGATACCACTTACAAATCATTACCCATTTGAAAAGCAACTTAAAACATGGGACATCTCTGTTAAATCAGGGGTTAAAAAAAATTTCATTCAATATACAGTAATACTTTTTACCAGAAAAAAATGTCATATCAGGGGAGCAACAAAATGTTTGAAATGTTTTTAAGTTCCTGTACTTGTGAATGAAAATAATCATAACCAAATTTAAGGGCACACTAAATTTGATGCTCACTACCAGTTAGTTCTCTTCCCATCTTCTACCTAAAAATATAAAGATTAAATTATTTAAAATTATAGTTTTTACCTGTAGCTTTGTAGACTCTATTACTTTCAGAAAAGTATGTCTTTGCTTTAAAAATGATCATTATGTAATAATTTGACAATTATTCACATAAAGGCGGGAAATTCAGACAAATTAGGTTAATATTTCTCTCACTAGAAGACAGGGAGAATATGCCCAGTTTACAGCTCAAGGGCCTGACATTGCTATTAGCAACAAAGCATACCCAGTGAATCTGGAATGTTTCCGTAAGACTTGTTTGATGCTTTGAGGGACACGATGGTGGTCCGCTCCGTCTTAAAGCGGTCTCCTCTAGACTCCTCTGTGCCTTCTTCTTCTTCTTCAGATTCTACCTGAGTGGCACCTTGATTCACAGCCAGATCTTCCCCCTCCACATACCTTTTACTCTGAGACACATAAGATGTGTCCTTCGGACCTGCTGGAAATGGGGAAGACGGGATTAACAAAAGAAACCCGAACAAATTACATTGTCGCATTCTTTGTGTTGGCAAACAAAGGCAGACTGGTACTTTCTGCTTCATACATTTTTGTAGTGGTAAACTAAGGTGTGTGAAGACCAGTTTCCTGGCTAACAGCCTCAAGTTCAAGACCAAGCAAATCGCACACTTTTTCGTTCACGTCTAACAAAGGCAAAACCTTGTGTAAGTGAGGGATAAGAAGCCTCATTACAGTTCAGAGCCCATGTTAAAGTGGAGGTCAGTTCTTCCAGCACTTAACCTCATTTCTGTTTAGCAGCGAAGAAGAGTCTGCCTCACAATGAACTCCTTTACTGCTGCCAGGGCAGTCGAACACTGACGAAAATGTTTGAATGTACATTTATGGCATCAAATGTTATCAAGATCCATCCCTACACCAAAATCTCAGTTTTGTCAGTAGCTCAGCGTTGCCAACAGCCGCTATCACTTCACATTCTAACACAAGTATTGTCCTAAGATGCTGCCTTCTGGATGGTAGCACTGTGTAGTCTGGTAGAAATTTACTGATGTTTCATAGGTTCTTGCTAACTCCATTATCAGGGTAATGATAACAGTGATGGGGGTGATGACTGCCATGATGATGGAGGCAGCACATACCTCTGAAATGCCGGTAAACGTCTATCAGGCTACACAGTGCTACAACCCGGAAGACGGCCATCTTCTTACTTACTGCTGTGAGAACCTCAAATACTACAAAGTGTTGTTCTTACCCTGATTCTGGTGATCTGTACGGTGCAGAACATTCGGATCCTTCGCGTGCCTCAGCTTCTCACCTCTGACTGGTTCTTGAGTTTCCTGAGGCTCAGAATCCAAATCATCCAGTGCATCACCTTCTGTGACGCCCAAATCCAAAACATCATCAAACGGTTCTTCTGTCTCCCGGCTGTTGGAGTTCATTTACCAAAATATAGACTGAATATATCAGAGAGCTGTGATGAAAAGTAATTACACAGTCTAGCCACCTTCTTAAAGATGAAAGTAGAGACACAAGTGAGCCATAAAACTGAGCATTAAGGCAGAAAGGAGAACCTCAGATTGATCTACATAAATTAATTACTGGAGATATTTCAAGATTTTATAAAAATGGGATCAATTCAAAAAGGAGAAAATAGCACAGGAGTAGAACACTGAAAGAGACCAAAAAACTTCCATATCTCAAGTCGTCACCATTTTGAATTTAGTAGAAAATCTTGTTTCTTCACTATCCTATTGCGATTTACATCTAGCCACTGTCTCCAAGCTACTAAAATGGAGACATAATCTGCATCAGAACAAACAAGAAATCAAATCCAAACCTTACAATCAAAACTTTGCATTAACCTAAATTTTAGCAGCATTCATAATACACCAAATATAATTACGATGCCAAGAGTTGTTTAGACTACGATTCTCTTAGTAGGTTGGGGTTTTTCATGGGAAGAAGTGTACAGATGACTGTATTCTGGACCTGGCGCGTTGTAGCCTGGTAGAAATTCACTGACGTTCCACAGGTACTTGATGCCTCTGTCATCATCACCCTGATTATGGAGGCAGCAAGTACCACTGAAATATCAGTAAACTTATACAAGACTACAAAACGCTACAACTCAAAAGACAGTCGTTTTTTTAATTCTCTTGGCATTTCTTTACGAACTAGTGATGATGATAACTTACCGATATCCATCCTGGCCTTCCAACACCTCTTGTTCTTCTAAATAAACTGAACGGTGACTTGAACCCTGTGATATGGAATACAAATCGTGTAGTGTTTCTTTAACTGAAGTGTGCATCTGTTTATATACGCAACTTAACACATCTTCTAAACGTTTAAAAAACAGATGTAGCAATACTCACTTGTACATCATAATCATCTGCCAGTAACGCATCTTCATCTTCATTCCCTAAATCGTAATCAACATCGTCTCCTAAATCTCCTTCTAGAAGAGTATCATCACTATTGGCAAACGAATCCATTAGACAATACGTCAGGAAAACCAAGAAACTACAAATATCCGGTGTTCACATTCACGGGCGTCATTCCTAACCAAAATATTTACAGTAAACATCCATGAATACAAAGCTTCAGCAACATTCTCATTTTAAAACCTGGCGTGTAATTTGCCAACACTCTAATCTGTACCGAAACTAGTTTTCTAAGGCATAAATTTCGTCTAAGCCGAAGAGAAGAGATGTAAATCCAAATCTAAAGTCACTTCGTACGCATCACTCAAATTCTCTTAGAGACGCAAATAGTCACAAGTGGTTATCTCAGGTCACAATTTATGCCAACGGTTAAGCTTGGCTGTGCAGTTTGTACGGATCTACGTACCGTGGATGCAAGGCATGGAGTATAAATGACGGAGTACCGATTTAAATGTATGGTCTTCCCTGCTATACTTACACAATGCAAATATTGATGTCCGGTTTTTATAGTTAAAAAACTCATTACGAAGTCAAAATTTGTTTAGCTGTTGTAGGTCCTTGTTGGGAGCTGGTTATATTAACCATGTCTTAATAGGACGACTGGTATGACCAACAGAAATTAATCAACGTTTCAGAGGTACTTTTTGCTTCTAACAACAGGGCGATAATGACCCTGATGATGGAGGCTGGCTCCCAAATAACAAGTCATCTTCATACCAGCCACTGTGATTATATTAACTCTCAAAATCTTCTCGTGCAATCAGCCATGTGAAATCATCAATAACCTTTGCACTCTTTTTCACAAATTTAGTTCTCTGTTCCAAAGCTGGCTAGAATGCCCTCTGTGTAAGAAAGCATTTGGCAGATTTAAGCATAGATGGGGAGGTAAAATTATTGTAGATCTTACAGAAGTACAGCCTAAACACAGATACTTTAATTGAATATATTGTCATCGTATTCAAGGAAGTTCACCAATAGATTTAATTAATTTTGTTGTCTTTCCCCATCCATGCTATATGTACACCTCCTGAACTGTCCAAATGAAAATGCAAGTACAATCACAAATAAATTTCCTGCTTATTTCATGTCTGTCAAGTCTAAACATTGTCTTTAACTCCTTTGCAAATGCCTGAAATTCACAAAATCAGGATGAGCTGCAATATGAATTGGAACCAAAAAACATCAAAGCTACATGAAAATTTATTTACACTCTGTATAACTATAACATAACAGTAACAACCTGACTGCCTTCCACCATAATGTGCTCTAACCCCGAAACATAATCTGGATGCGGGGCAATAATAATAATATTTTCAACTGCACAAAGCTATAATGCATTCACACATTCACTCAATTCCCCCCCCCACCATCACACATCATGGGGTACGAGTCATATAGGTCCATGAGGGCTTCCGAAGAAGTTAATACAAGGCCAATAAAAACAAGCTTATGATAAAATTAAAAGGAATAAGTTCAGGAAATGTTAAGTTCAAGAAAAGGTTATTTCACTGACTTCAGCTGTGCTCAACCACAAAATTCCACTATGAAAAAGTTGGATTCTAATGTGAAAGTTTGTCAGTTGTCAGCAACCTCTGATTAAAACAAGAAGCTTGTTAAATTTTCATACTCCTGTTATAGTCCTGAACACAAACTACACCAATGGACAACAATGTGAATACAAAACTGCCATTACAGGATAACAAACCATTTGACAATTCAGCTACAAGAACTGACAAACACCAATACTGTTGAGTACCCTCTGACAAAAAAAAAAGTGAATACACCCTGTGTAGCTTGCTTGATGAGTCAGAGACACACACTGGTCCTCTCCTTTATACATCAAGGTAGATGAGAGGTACACTGCCACAAGACTACACAGTGCAACCCAGAAGACAGTCGAATCCACGATTCCTTCCAAACAATATGAAGAATAATTTATAAGAAACAGAATATTATTTACAAGAATATAACAAATCACATAAATCATAAAACTCTACAAAATCTTTGTGACAAGGGCCTTATAAAGGAGCCCCTCATGTGACTTTTTCCATCAGCTCCAAGCGTAAAACAAATAAAGAGCCCAAAATTGCAACTTACACTACAAACCAGCATCAGTGCACGAATATCACCAAGACATGGGGAAGTTAGAATCACTGAACGTTTTGGCATTATTTTGCAGCAAAGTGGTATTTGTAAAACTACGGATCCACTGGCCAATCCGTGTGCACTACACAAAATATCAGAATAAAGGATGGTTGGAACCATAAGAATTTATCTTTCTAAAACTAACCTTCTAAAATACACAATATTTACCATCCTCACAAACATTTAGATAAAGAATTACACCACTTTCCTAAAACTAAAATATGTACATGCTAGCCACATATCTAATAAAAGATTTTAGAATATGAACCATTAATTGTGTATGTTTCATGGATCTTCATGCTGGAGTGTGAATCTCCAAGTACAGGCATAGAAGCTCACAAACTATGCTGATCACAGGCACAATAGAAATATCTCTATGACCTATTGCACATGCACCAAATAATTCTCATAAATCAAAATAAATCAAACCTTTTCAGTCATCCACAAAACAGTAGTTTTTGTTTTCATGAAATAAATAAATTAGTAAATAAATAAGATAGCACATATAAACATTACATGTCTCAAATTGCACTCCAATCAATGCACACATCAGTAAGCAACGCCTCATCATGAGGAACTGCATCCCTTTATTAAAGCTTAATGTAAGATGTTACACCTATTTTGGCATACACCACAGCATTATCACAAGAAGAAGAAGCCACATGCAATGGTCATGTAATCGACAATACTTACATAAAGAGAAAGTTAAATGTGCCTTCTGCAAGTACAAAAACTATTACATACACTGAAGGCAGAACTGTCAGGTAGTTAGGACGCAGACTGCATCACAGCCGCAGAAAAACCCCTCAAAAAGTATTCTTTCAGCAAATCATAAACTCAGATTGGTACGTGAGTGAGTAATACATGCAGCTTCTTCCGGTCCTGAGAATGTAATTCAGAATGTGTTATACAATTTGTGATGTTATGCATGTCTGAAGGTAGGTGGCAAACAGTATCACCAGTTCCTATAAAATATGGTTTTTTATGCATTTTATAATTAACAGTTACAAAGTTCTGTGTAAGTAGAGACCGTTACAAAAGTCAATTCTGCTTGTGTGGTAAAACTTGCACTACTGCTTCCATGGTCTCATGATACACTACCATAAAGATATTACAAGCAGCAAATTTCTGTACCAATCAAACACCTTATATTAAGTGATGTAGTCCTTCTGCATCATTAGCATTTAAACAAATGCAGCAGCCTGTTGTGTACTAACAGATTCCAATAGCCATGGATTCCATACACAACGTTTCAGTGATTAAAACTGCACTTAAATTAAAGAACGTTAAGTGTGCCCACTGTATAATTCCAGGAAGGCGTTAAAAAGAACATTATACTATCAACACTTATTTCCACAAATGAGGAAACTGAAACGCACGTACAATGCGTAAAAAACTATACACCAACTTGGACCAGTGGAACCCACAGTACAACGACCAGCAAACTTTCTAGAAAATGGGTTGTTTTATGCAAACTGAATGTTCATTCTTGTACATTTTTCCTTCATTTCTTGCCCAAAGATTACTGTTTCCAATCCTCTCTGTACGTCTATCACATAATGTTTAAGTAAATCCATTTGCTTCCAACAAATCTTTAAGTATCTAAAGAAATCTGGAGACACTTCCCAATAACTCATCGAACCCTAGTTAAAAAAATGTTGCTTTACAAGAATCTTCGTAAGACAGTAACACAATGCAGTACAATAGCAGAGATTACTTGAAAACTGCTATAAAATCAATGAAGTAATCTCCACATAAAAGTTGTATTCATCGCTATCATTGAAAACACATTACTTAGGGGATATTTTTCCTCTTCAACTTCTATGCTTCAGGCAATTTCACTCTATCTAAAGGAGAAAAATAATCCAATTAAAAATTGAAAAGAGACATGCAGAATTTAATATCTTTCGTAAACAAACAAATGCAATTACATCATAGGCAGTGGTTTCCAAATTTGATCACTCCACAAACCCATCTAAAAACATATTTCCTCTTATTTAGATATTCTTTCATTCCTTCCAAGTACCCATTTCACCACGTTCATTTTCACACAGCTGTTTTTTTTTTAATCTTAACCTGGAGCTAATTTATCTTGTAACTGTGCACCAAGCAATGCAGCAGCTTGAAAAGAATTTGCATAAAAATAATATTGGGACACAACATAAAACAAACAGTACCAGCAATTACAATTTCTTTTATCTTGTCCTCTCCATGAAACACTTCACAGTAAACTATAGTTTGTGAACCACTGTATTAAAGGTTACACCAATACGACTTATCTCACGTGCCTCCTGTGATAATTTCTACGTGGATTTTGCTGCTGTACTTTCTTTCAAGTCGATATACCACCACTACTTGCTGTTATCACCATCTGTATAAACAGCCTGTTTAGTGTCACAGTTTTGCTAAACACTTCCATTAAATACCAACTCCGCAAACAAACTGAAGTGACCTGCTGAATCAACAGCTGCCCGTACATAAATATAGCGAAGCAACAAACTCAACCACTGGCCCAACGGATAACACACAAAGCTTAAACTAAGAGATATTCTACATCCTTACAACTGCAGCCATGTATGTGTTCTGGTAATATAAAAAGACATTGCACAAGTGGCAGGAAAAGCCATAATAAAAATCTATTGCACTCTTCAGAAACCACGCATTTCTCAGAGGATGATGTACATATTTCTTTAGCTACCATTATAATTCTGTACTGCCATACTCCATGCACAATTCATAATATGAGATCAAACTTCACCTGACACCCTCACCGATATGATGATGAACGCATAAACCTATATCTTAATACGGACCTCTGAAGTGAGGGAAAACCACACTGGACTGAATGCAAAGTCCTCTGGCAGAGATGTCCAGCACATCACACCTACACCAGGTACCCAAGTAATTACAAAAACGTAACAAAAAACTACAGAGCATGAAATGATATAACAAAGCTCTTTTGCTGTTCCAATATTTCAGACAGGAATGAATATGTTTACATATCTCAAAGTCTTTTATATAGTTTTCTAAGTCAGAAAGTCAAAAGCACAAGGCAGGTCAGCACTCACTAGCGACAAGCTTTGTCATAACTTCGTTGAAACCTGTGGATCCCTGGCTTCCAACCTATCATACCAGTAATTACTATGTTGAAAAAGTGGATTATAGCCTTCAATTAAAACATTACACCTGACACATGAAACAAATCAACTAAAAAGGAATATTTTTGAAATGCAAAACAATTACAAAATTCTCTAATGTTGTTGGCAGGGGTCCCATGGCTGCATCAATTAGAGTAATACGCTATGTTCGCTATCATTATAAAGCTACCAGTTTACCTGTTATCTACGAATGTGTAAGTGTAAGTATTTTTATGCCGCACATGTACAGTTACTGAATGCACAAACAGAAAACAAAGCAACACGATGACTTCAACCACGCCATAATTTGTCATTTTGTTTATATACGATAACAGTCCATTGAAAGAGTCCGACTACCAAACAATTTGATGCCATAAACCTAGTTTGCTTTCAGTAAAACATTAACAGACAGGTTAGGTCACTAGCATTACGTAGCCCTTGAGTCAGAAGACTTAAAACTCTGCACATATTTGCATTAAAACCATTCATTTCTAAATTACTCTTCTTTCTATGCTGAAATATCAAGACCATCTACGTAACTCTCCCGGTCACCTTCGATACTGCTACTTCATCTTCTGTTTGCTTCATCTATGAATATACAGAATTCACTGTACAGATAAATATTATTATAACTGAGCAGAAATTGTCCATTATTATTCAAAGAAAGATGGACACAAAGTTTGTATCTGGATGTCTTCTTTATCAGTGTTGCCTCCTGCATGCACGGAACTGTACATGTATGTGGTATCATGAAAATATAGCAAGCGGGGAGAAGACCTGCAATGATGTTACAAAGAGGCGTGAGGAGCTGTGGGAAGCATCACGTTCCATGCGCTTGCGAGAAGTGCGCTGGTTTCTGTACACCGTCTGCTCAGTGAGACATCCACCAATGGGCACAGCGGGAACTCAGTCTGCAACACATTGCCGCAACATGAGGGGCCAAGTGAAATGTTTCAACCAAGAAGAGTTATGTCCTCATTTCAGAATCTAAATAAATGTTTGAGTCTCTCACCAATTCTTCAATAATAAATGCCCTATGAATGGGTATTCCTTGGCAGTCAGCAGTCATTCAGCTGATCAGAAGAGTCTCTGTTCTTATGAAACCCATAGGTTACTTACTACATTCACAAAACACCATCATCAAACATATTCTGAGCCAATTTGATCATGTCCTCAACCTTCACATATGAGGTTTTTAAAGAAATATTTTAATAATATCCTTTCAGTTTTTCTGATACCTGTTGCAAGGATGGCCACAGCTCCTGCAGCACATCCATGAAGCTGTGCATCTCATCAGGTGATGCAAAGTAGAGCACCCAGTCTCCAGTGCTTTCATGCACCTCTCGGCACGCAAACTCCTGTACAATCAGAATACCAATGAGCAATTGAATGTCTCACCAACCAACCAAAAATTAACCGATCTACTAGGAAACCATTTTGCTCAAACAAGCTCAATCTCTCTTCTGCCCCTAAAATGAGACAAAGTTTTAGTACTAAAGAAAACTGCAGAAAAAATTAATACCTAGGTTTTTTAAAAGGAGATGTAAAGACAAAATATTTTGAACTGATTGTTGGTATGTATTTGAGAATTATTTTCTGTTATTGTCTATTTTAAATTATTCTCCCAAGCTCAAAAACTCAAATTGTACACATTTTCTAAGAATTCATGGCCTCGTCTTACACTGTGGTCACAACACATTCTGGTACTAATACAGCTCGTATTTCCCCATATTGATCGTTAATTATCATACTTCAGTAAACAAAACATTAAGAAAAAATTACTGACTGCCAAAAATGCTAATATACATTTCTTCAATTGAAAGCCATGTTTCTTATGTTGTACAAAACAATGTTAACTAAAGAAGCATACGTTTAAACACTTTTAGGGCTCTACAAGTGGTGCTACTGTACAGAAATTGCCTTGGCACTACACATCAATAAACACAGCAATTTCTGACACAACGTACCACCACACACCAGCTGTGCTCCATTGAATCAATGGTGAATGCTGTGAGATCCTGTATTGCTGCACATGAAAGTATCTGTGCTTGTCTTGATCCTGGGAACTTCTCGAGGCAAGTGACAAGGTGGCATTCTGTCACCACAAGTGAGCAGTACATAGTTTGCACCTTCTCCTCTTCATACACCTGCAGAGTGTTGAAAAACTTCCTTTACCACCTATCTTTTGAAATTCATGTCAGTTCATATCTTCACAAAAACTTTTTATAAGATACATTTCTACATTCCTTCACATACATGTTAAGATATACAGAGTGATCTCTTCCCCTGAGGTTGGTCTCTACGGAAACTTGACAGAGATCACTGTTTAATATAATTAGTACGCAGCCGACATCCCATACAGCTTCCTTGGTGAGGAAAAATGCTCTTCTGCTATTCTCAGACAATGAGTAATGTTGTAGTTTCTGTCTTAACTACGGAGATTATCCAGTGCTGAACAATTATGAAGAGTGAATAGAAAATTAAAAAAAAAAAAGGCCATGGAACTAGTCCAGACAGACCTCAGGGCAATCAGTACCTTCATATGAAACACAGTAATTCCACTGCAGTATACTCACGCCAGATGCTGCCTGAACAAAGGCTTGTAGCCAATCAGAAGCTTCATACTCATCAGCAGCAGCAAACTGGAAAGACCTTCGTGGACCCACGAGTATCTCAAACGTATGTGGGCGCCGAGCATGAGAAATACGACGACACCCATTCCCCTTTAACGGAATCACTCGCTTGGGCAAGCGATGGGACTTGTCACCAAACATGTAGACTACACCAGCTCTGCAAAGAGTGCAATATGTGATTCAGAAATATCAACTGTTTGCAGAGGAACTTTTTTTCCCACCTCCAACAACATTTTCCCACTTGGTTCTTACACAGCAAGAACATGACATGAACAGAGACAAGGGTAAATCAAGCTACTCACTTCAGCAAGAAAAAACCTGGTTCCCAAGGCTGCAGCGGGGCATCCAGTGCCGGTCGGAACATAAGATGGCCTTCCTTTGTAGGTCCCAGTGGGGTTGAGGGAGGACTGACATGATGGTCCTGGAGATGCACGAGGCTATAGTGACAGATAGCTTCACCCTATAGAAGACAAGCCACACTAGCATCCAACTAATTCTTTTATGTTTAACGAAATATTTACAGATGAGGACTAAAGTTATTTATGATTTCTCCAATTAAAAACAGTGCTGCCACTTGGGGGAATATGTCAAAGATAAGTCTAATCCAAGCCATAATAACAAATATCTTGTACGTGTAACTGCGTCCCATTAGAACTGCAGAAAATTCACAACGTAACACTGTAAAATATTCAGACCTATAACAAATGAAATGGTTAATGAAAGATACGAATCAAGCAACGAACTTCACGATTCATACAGCTCACCCAAACTTGTAAGGTTTATTCTCTAAAGATGTGTGGCAATGGAAGATTTATTATACCAATGAAAACACCAACCTCATGAAACATCTGTCAGGCTATAAAAAATTACACATATTTTGGACTTCCTCCATTGTAATTTCTGTATAAAAACAATTTTTTTAAGTCATGCTCTGCTTCTGTCAGGCAAGCTAAACTGCGGACAAAGAAACTAAGCTAATTTATCCTAAATATAAAGTACAGTGCCATGCTGGGAAGGAAACCAGAGTGAGAAGTGGTGGGGGATAGCATTTAAATGGGCCTTCACGCTCAGCAGTACTCACCTCCGGCAATGAAACGTCCTGCACCAAACCCTTCATATCGTCCAGTTCCAGCTCCCTAACTGATGGAAGAGGAGGTTTCATAGGGGCCCGCCGCATAGCAATCTCAATATGACCCACAAGCTGTTCTGTGATAGCACGATTACCAGTGACAACAAGGAACTGTGTCTGTCGGTTGACACCAACTAGCAGCACAGTCTGCAAGTTTGGGCCCACCTGGTGGAAAGAAATTAATTATACTCAACAAAACAGGGGAATTTATGACCTGAAGAAGCTTAAGTAAAAGTTAAGTTGTCCCTATGCCTACACATCATGCCATAAAGAACTCACCAGCATTGCATCCAAGTCCGTGTAGGGCATAACCAGCTGGTTGCAGTACTTGTAGTTACTCTTGACACCAGTTAAGTAAAGGTTGACGTTGGTCAGCAATGCTAGTAATGGTCTGCCAACATAACTGCTGCAGTAGGAACTGGAAACTTTAAAAACCTGTGGCAAAACACAGAAACTGCGGTTCGGATTTTTATATGAAGAATGACAGAATGATGCATGACAAAGATAGAATTCAGTAACAGACTCTTCAAAAGCTTACTAAGTAATCAAAGAATGACTCAATTAAATAAGATGGATGTTTTATGGGTTGTAGTGCTGCAGAGTCTGCTAGATGTTTACCAACGTTTCAGAGATCCTTGAAGCATCCATCATCACGGTATTATTCATTGCCTAGATGACAGAGGCAGCAAGGACCTCTGAATCACTGGTAAACTTCCATCAGAAGGAAGAACCCAGAAGACGGCAATCTTCGTACTCATTGCTGTGAGAACCTAAAATCCTACTGACTAAATAAATTACTCTGTGACTCAGCCTTTTTGTTTTCCAGGTGATCCAGAAATCCATAATGGTTATGAAATTAAAAGGTTCATCACTGTCATCACAAAAGCTTGCCACAAACTCCTTCAGAAATCCAGTTTAGTATTTTGCTGTCTGTTGAGATGTATCAAGTTGTTCCCATCGTTATATTCAAAATAAAAAAAGGAAAGTAAAAGCAATCAAATTCCGGGTAACATAAACAGTATAATGACATATGCAACAATTCAAAATTATAAAGAAGATGCCAGACCGAACATAAAATAGCAGCAAAGCACAAACCACAAGGACTGCTAATGTGAAGATACGCATCAGTTGAAATCTATTTCATATGACCAAAGAAAATTAATAACAGCATTCTTGAGAAGCTAATACTCACTCAGACAGTCATGAAATTGCCAGCCTTTTTCTGTGTTCGTAATAGCCTGCCACTAGAACCTATCCCAAGCTGAACGACCTCAGTCCACATTTTCACATCCAACTTCATAATGGACCGACTTAATATTCAGACTAAAACTCTGTCTGTACTTCTTACCTCTCCCATGAATGTTTCATGCCCAGCCCATCCCATACATGTAATTGGAAAGAACGTGTTGAAAGAAAGATATTTATGAGACAGCAGAACATAAATGACAGATAATCCATAGAAATACTGAGACAAGTCCATTTCTCACCTTGTATAACACTTCCTCAGAGTCCAGGAACACCTGTGCTCTAAATGTCTCTTCTAAATCTGAAGTCTCTGGATGAACATGCTGCACATTGCAACCCATAGCAGCTAGTTCAGTTTTGAAATGCTCCAGTGCTTTCATACGATCCAGATTCCTGGCTCCAGGGATGTACAAAGATTGAGATGGTTTCAGTATCACCTTCGGTTTCTGCATAAATTTCTTTTCAGCCAGAGACCTCATAAACTTGTTAAAGAGCGACGTTTTGGATGCAACGTCTCTTGACGAAATCAAACTGAGGGGTGTTCCTTTCCGTGAGATGTGGTGGTGGCTACGGAGTTTTGATTTCTGATCATCAGGTGGGAAAAAAGAACTTGCATTTTCATGAAAACAGTTTTCTTTTAAAGATGATGATATCAAATGTGAAGTCCTGCTGCTTACAAATTCACTATCTGAGGCCAGAATTCTTTCTGAATCAGATGACCAGTCTACAGACGATGAATACCTCTTCATATTACCACTGACCCTGCAAACAGCCTCAGGTAGAGTTCCTCCAATACCTTGCTTGTGAAGACACAAACTGGATGCACAATTGGGAGGATCTTCCTGACCTTCTGGGGTGCCTCTTTCTGTAACTGGGGGAGTGTGTGCAGTTTCTGAGACCATACATTTATCCTTCTGCTGAGAATTTATGTTATTAGTATTCTGGTCTAGTCGTACCAGAGGATCTTCCATACAAATACTTTCATGTGATGAAGTCATAGCTGAGGAGGACAAGAGATAAATATCAGATTTGGTGTCAGACTCTTTGTTCCGCTGTCGCATAAAGGGGGCATCCCCTTCACTACACCACGTATACCTTCCCTTTACTGCATCACGCTTTATGACAGAATTTGGGGGAAGGAAACTGACTGAGAATTCGGTCCCACATTTCTCATTGGATTTTAGCTCATTTCTGATAAAATCCTCATGAAATGAGACACGCTTCACTTTCGTTGTGCCGTCAGAAGGTACATTGTCACGTTTCTTCTTGTTGTGCTGCCTGCGGAAAACAATGTCATCACTGTTTGTCCCCTGCTTTGGCTTGCATTCAGTCTTGGCAGGCTTTCCGTCCTCCAACACGTTACGATCGCAGTTGACTTTGTTCTTGGACTCCACAAATGAAGCTGCTCCACACAATACTGAAGGAATGATTACGTCCTCACTCACATTCTGATTGGTAATATCACTTGCAGTCATTACGGATGACGCGCGACTCTGAAACACATCAGATGCTGCTACCACCTTGCTCTCAGGAGAGTCCACCAAACTTGTGGCAGCACTTCCACTGACTCCGACATCTACTGCCTTCTCACTTTCATCACAGCCCTGTTCTTTAGTTGCAACATAAAGCCATTCTGCCTTTGCACCAGTACTCACACATCCTTCCTGTGCCTTATGCCCCTTGCCCACAAGTGTATCTAGGGTCTGCAGCTGGTGATTGATTCGATTGTCTTCAATTTCATTTAAATCTGAATCATCCTGGAATAAAAAAATTCTAACTTAAATTACATTAAGCTAAAACATAGGCATCTTGTCTGAAATGGAATTATATATTAAATACTCATTAAGCCACAAATGTGACAATGGGCACAGGTGTACAAACATATTACCAACCACAAAATACCCTGGACGAGTCAGAGGTGCACAGGCACAAAGGAAAACACTAAACAAAAAACAAATGCAGTTCTGGAGTAATTGTCTGTAGTTACCTACAAAGGAAGAAAGAAATCAAACATGAAAATGGAAAAAAAGAAGGAAAAGGTAGCCACAGCATATTTAAAAATGTTTCCAACACACAACTTATTTACTAAATGGTAAAGAAAGAAACGTACACAAACAGCCACATCTCTGGTTTAATTTCTATATAACTGTAAAATGCACAAGTTGTCCAAAAATACTGACTCTCTGAAAAATGAAGAATGATCTCTGATCACACAGCATTTCATTAACAAGTCTCGGCACAGCCCCTTCACATTCCACTCAAAGCAAATAAATAACTCCATACAGCAGTTCCTAACAATCTGGTGGTTGCTCAGCTAAACAAAAATTCTCTCCCTTTTATGAAATTCTTGGTTAATTATTGTATTCATAACAGTCAAATCATTGAACCTCATCACGACCTAGGTGAATCCAGTCTACAAAAAATTTAAGAACCACTTTAATATTATTCTCCATTGTAAGTCCCATAAGTGGTCTCTTACTTTTTGGTTTTGAATTACAATTTTATATGCATTTCTCATGGTCCATTACACGTTTCACTCCGCCCATAGTTTCTGTTTTCTGTTTTACTCTTCCATCTCTCCCCTGTGCATGTCTTCCCATAACACACAACCCCTTCCAACCACCATCTTGCACTGACCTCCTTGTCGTCCCTCAAACTGAGGTTGTCAGTCTCATTTATTGTTGCCTCACTGATGGACGTGTTATCACCATCACTGTCTAGCAGCGCAACTCCTGAATCCACAGGAGACGCCAGGGACGACGTCATTGATAAGGTCATGCGAAGGCCCAGGTTAGATGGATCTCCACAAGACGGGAGAAGGTCAGATGATACCTCACTGTGTTGCTGCTGGTAAGCTGCCATGTCCAGGTACGCCGCGTCCTGCAACACATTTCTAACGCGTCTCACCCGAGCTAAAGGTACCTACTATGCTGAAGCACACATACATATGAAACAGCATAAAAGATGAGGCAAGATCTAAGGAAGTAAATGCTTTGTGTAACACTTACTAAACTGTTAGAACAACAGAGAATGTTCAAAGCTGATGAAAACCTAAACTTACAGAATGTTAAATGCTAATAAAATAATTGCACCACGGAAATTATTCCCTACAGACAGCTACCTTTAATGTTTACAGAAAAAGCTTGCAACATCTTTCATACAATGAGTCTCAAAGAGGAGCGATGTTATACTTGAAACAAAGAATTGAAATAGCAGTTTATAAAATAAGAAATGAGAGTATTTCCATTCACAGATAATCAGTGATGGTCTTCAACAAGATACTAAAAATAATTTCATTGCTCCGGAAATGGAATATTGGAGCTGAAGCCAAAAATCAGCACACTAAGAACAAATATATTTGACCAATAATGAGACTAATGGAAGTTACAAAAAACATTACTGTGCTACGGGCATCCTTAATGACCGGCACACGATTGTCACAAGAGATACGGTAACTGGGACCCAGTCATTCAAAAACACAACAGATTAAGGAAAGGACGAGCAAGCACCTGATGTAAAACAAACAATTAAAGCAACAGGCAACAACAATTACTAGGAGAAACAAGATGGAATGAATACTGGGTTGTGTATATACATACATATTTGGATTTTTCATTCAGCAACACATATAAAATGGAAACACTGCTCAAAGAGGAAGACACCCGGAAGAAAACGATGTGCTTACAGGGTCTAGGTTGAACTGTACTTGCTCCAAGCCAGCCAATAATGTGAGGAACTGCTGTGTAGAGGGCGTATCTCGGAGAAGTGCTTGTGTCACGTAGTGCCTATGTAAGATATCGACATCCTGGCACAGACAATGCACATAGCTCTGCAGGGAACCCTCCGTAAGTGTGTGGTAAAGCCAGGCTCGTCCTGCAAAAGCAAGGCACAGAACCTGTGGCTGATGTACATACATAAAACTCCTCATAAGTTTTAAGCAATCATTTTTTGTCTCTCATGTTGTAACTTGTTTACTCAGAAAATTCACCACATTTGAGTATTTTCTGTGGCAGTCTTCTCGGTTGCTGCATAATGTAGTATTTTGGCAATATAATAGTTTTGGAAAAACCACCATCTTCTTTCACACTACTGTGAGAACTTCAATCCTTAATAATAACAACAACAAAAGAGAGACAAAGCAAAAGATGATTACCTTTTCCTAGTGAAGTGCTAACAGTCTTGAGTGACTGAATTATCCGAAGAGTGTCCGAGTGGCTGATTTCATGCACGACAGGCCAGTAGCCCTGGTGCAAGTCCCGAAGGCCATGACATAAAACAAGATCAAGTAAGTGGCATAGTGACTGCACAAGCCACGAGTCATTACCAATAACTACCACACCTTCGTATCCACACAGAGCGTATCGCTGCACCTAGAAGGAACACAAAGACTATTTACTAAAATTTACATTGTACTTTGGGATTCAAGATGCAAGATTCAAGACACAAATACAAAGACACATACTAGACAACCACATGTAAACATGGCTAAATAAATTAGAAAACAGATATTGGAATGCTTGGTATCAAAATATTTTGCATTAGAAATGAAATTATAAAATCAAAGAAGTACACTGAATACAATTATTACCAAAATTACAAAAAAATAAGGGTGGAAACCACCTCTAGAACTCAGTGTCCTTGAGGCCACAAACAATTACATTTATCTGGAATTGTTTCTGTCTGCTAAATCATAAGTTCCATTAACACAAATTATTAACTATGTTCATTAACTAACCTTCCATTAGATGTTCTACTGGACTATGGATCAGGAAAGAAGCGAAATTATAAGAAAGTACTGAAATAAAATAAAAGAAATAACTGAAAAATATAAATAAGAATTACTAAGAACACATTGAACACACAAAAAACACTAAATCCTTACTTCTTTACAGTGAATATGCATTACATAGTTTGGTATTTCAATCTGCTAATGAAATGCTCCTCCCTCTAGAGATCTATATGGCGAAAATTTGATCATTGCAATTTGATAGCACCAAGTAACTTAAATGGTTTATTGCTGTACTGTAAGCTGACTGTTGAAGATTCGTTTTTTGTTCTGTATTATTACATAGAGCCAATAATCTTGAACAGCTGACTCAGTCCACATCAGCCATTGACATCCACTTTATCTCCGTAATCATTGTAACATAATTAAAAAAATATTACGAGTTCGAAGAAAAGGCAACTATATTACATAGTACGATAACTTTCATGCAACATCAACCACTTTCACACTACGACACATCTGTGAGACAGCTGATAAGTGTGACTCAACATAACGTCATCGATCTAATTTTGCGTCCGTCAGACCCTACACATTAATAATGCTGTACATATATACCACGTCTGATTTGCGTATGCTATATGATCGATGTTTAGTTAAGAATTCTATAATTATCTCATTTAAACTTCAAGAATCTCAGAGTCTTATGAAACTCATACACCAAAGCAGAACAAGTGTTTTTACGCACCAACTTTATTGACTTCCCCAGGTCGTCCAAAATACGGTCCTTCACACCGTTATTCTCGTTATGCAGCTCCATATTTAAGATGGGATTTCCTGTGTCCTCTTCTAATCATAACTACTCTTAATGACAACAATTTTACAACGTAAACCATCACAGTCAAAATTTCCTTTGCCCTTCCACGACATTTTGAGTTTGGAGAAGCTCTGCATGAAATATCGATTGAGTTGCTGAACAAATGAGAAGCGTGCCGCACGAAACTACAGAATAATTTTGTCGCTGTGAGAGCATGAATCTATAAAACAATTTACATTCCGTGGACCCTTCATAACCCCAAACCAAGAATGTGAAATTTAAATATAAACACGTAATTGTAACAGCAATCTAAAAGCATCTTCTAAAATTGTCAAAAGGCAGAGCAAAATAATTACAAAGAAATATTTTTTATAAATATTTACAACCCTTAAGAACCTTAACTAATGCAAATTCTAATATAGAATAAGAACCATATGCTAAGTTAAGTACAACCCAGCAAAGGATTGCCATTGTTGTCGCTGAGGCAAAACCATTTCTGTCCAGAAAAAGGATAATGGTATACGATTAAAATGACTTCCACAAGATAAAATGTAATCAATCCGAAACATTCTACCTACCATTTTCTACCTGGCTGCCTGTGAAAGACTGCTAGACTAACCAGTTGCTGCCCAAGTCTTTATGGTAGGTCTTGTGTAGGTTTTACTTGAATTCAGATGATCATTTGCTGAAGGGATTAATGGGATGTCAGTGAGTGTACTGTACCACTGATAATTTAACTGGCAAATTAAAGCATGCTTTGAGCCAAGTTCCCTGAACAGTGTATGCATAATGTGATAAAAAAGATTGAATTTACTTTTGTTTTTTGTCTTGTCCAGCTCGTGTTAAAACCTTGCAGAAAGGAGGAGTAGATTTTAGGTTCTCATGACAATGACAATGCTGATAGTAGTCTTCTAAGTTGTGACACCATGTGGACTTGTTGGTGGTACCAAAGCTTCTTGATAACCACCTACAAGACCACAAACCCAGAACACCATCAAAATCATCACCAATGCAAGAACTTAAAACTTTTGATAAGTTAGCATAATCTGCATCACTGAACTTACCAGATTAAGCACCTATACAGACAAGTATATGAAGGGATTATGTATAGTCAATTGTGAGGGAAAGGGGAGAGGAGGAGGCATTGTGCCACAAAACAGAGTAACATTGGCAACTATTTTAATTTATTCAACTTTCTAGACAACAATGGGTTGCAGAGAGCTGACTAAACATTTCAGAGAAATTAATAGTGTGCATCTTGAGGCGAGTATCCTCATCACATCCACTGGTTACTGTGGGGCTCTGTGATCAGGAATGTAGCTGACCAAACAGTTTCATATACAACAGAGAAAACAAATGCATGCAGATTTCAAGGCATGGTATTCAGACACCTTCAGATGGAGACTGCTAGTTTCTCATTGTCATACAGGTAAAGTTCAAGTACACAAACATTTCGTCTGTTTGAGACAGCACACCATTGGCTTCTTCTTAACGGGGATGAGCAAAACTCACTGGCCTCTTATATTACAGGTTCTTGAAACGTGCAGACCATGCCGTGGTTTGTACATCACTGATGCAGAACCAAAAAACATCGACTTTTTATGCGACTCATGGCGGTGACTCGCTTCAATGATGCATCTTAACATCCCAGAGGTTCATTCACATTTATCAGTCAGAACAAGGGGGAAGTGGACGATGCGTAGTTGGTTGCTGTAGTCACAGGCGACACTGTCACGCAACAGCAGAATCTGCTTCACAAACACACTCCCATCACTGTCACCAAGCTTGACAACACGCACAGCATCTCCTGTCCTCACATCCCATACAACCAATGAACCCTGTGGTGGAAGAATGGTCAAAATCAGTTCTCCATGTCAGACCACAGACAGGGAGGGGGCAATCTGATAGCAGAATTATCATATACTCATGAGTGGAAAACATAGAACAAGTTTAGTTCCCAGATTCCTTGTTTATTATTGAGTTACTTTAACGGCAATATATCGGCTTCTGAAAGCAGAATTAACATAAATAAAGGATGAAATGTTTGTGTATGGATACAATGAAAATAGCAGAGATATAAACTATTTTCTCTTAGGTTTTCACATCTGGCAAACTCGACCACAAAGACAGGAAGATGTGTTTAGGCTCAAGTGGGTTCAACATGCTCTGACTGGCAGACATGGCACACTTCGTAACTTCATATCAAATTTTCTCCTGTGTCATTTGATATTTCCAGAATGAGTTCCTGAAAATTTGCAGCAATCTTTACTGTGTCAGATAGTAACAACATAATTTCATTTTCCACTTCCTTATGTCTAGATGGAGTGATTCCTACTTGACAAACGCAGACAATACTTCTAAGAAACTGAAAAGCTGCTGGCAGAGGGGAATCTGCTGCCATGTTGGATGCCTTCTTCAGTAGAGACAAGTAGCTCATACCATGTTACATGATACTGCATCTATTGTTAAATTACAACACATTTTTTACTCAACATTATGCAGTTGCAATTTTCCTAACCTCAATCTTATGTGCAAAATTATACTCTATGAAAAATATTATTCACATATCGGACACACAACAAATTACAGCAAATGTGGTAGTTCACTTGTTGGTGGCAGGGACCCAACATACTACGTGTAGTCAGTTGTCGATGGCAGAATATATACCTGTTTGCTGGTTATAAGCAGGTTGTGTGTTAACATCACCATACTCGTGCAGTACGTGTGGGACTGAAACAGAGAACAGACCGTGCACTACTAGCGCAACACTCTTGGGATAAGTATTATGCATGCTTCTGATATGACAGACATTTTGTTACAAGTCCTAACACCAACATTTAATAAATATAATTTTTAAATGAATTTTCTGTTAATCATCTAAGCCCAGTGGAAACTATATATACCACCTGCTTTAACAATCAGTAAATTTTCATTTGTATTTATGGATTCTGTGTGATTCTAAGAGTAAGAAGCAATTAAAAGTTGATCTTTCTGATGGATACAATTGTATTTTTAATGAGGTAAGAATTTAATTTTTAAATAATATTTAGATAAGCTTCGTGCTTCAAATGTTGGAATAGCAGATCCTAAACCAAAGTACAAAAACTTATTAAGTGCGTAATGACACATTATAAATGAAACAGTAGGATTTGAGGTTTTCAAGTTGAGTCCTAAGATGGCTGTCATCTGGGTTTTTGCGCCATAGTAAACTTCTACCAGGCTACACAGTGCAACAACCCAGAAGACAGCCATCTTAGGATGTAAAAATCTGACGCAAAATGGCTACTACATAGCTGAATGTTAGCACCAGCATGATCCAGAGTCAAACAGTACCAACCACTTGAATTGTGTTCAGCAAATGTCCCTGGAAGCGTTCCCACACACAGAGACGATCATCTGTACCCAGACTGATTACGTAACTGGCAGAATATGTAAGAGCCATCACACTGCCATCATGAGCCTGCAGGCTGTACATACACGCTCCTGCAATCACAATATCAATCTTAGTGATTGGTGCAGAAATTAATTTATTACTTATTAGCCACGTAAGGCGTGTATAAACTAGAAAAGCCTCGAGACATGAAAACTGCATGAAACAAAATAATGTCAATACTGTTAGAGATTTGACTGATAAAACTTGGAATTCAGAACAAATGTGCTCATCAGCTTACAGTTCTGATATATCAAAATACTTTTATGTTTCTAAAATTTAAGATGCGTGGCATATTTGCTTCGCAGCCACTCAAGCTGATAATTAGTTATACCACCACTGTTCCCATTTTAGCCTGCATTTTCTTTAGTCAGTTTACACCTCACACTTCAGCATTTACAACTACGAGCAGTGCGTAATTTCACCTGTAAGCAGATCCCAGACACAGAGGAGACCATCCTGACTGCCACTACCAGACATCATGGGTGAGATGCGATCCATGAAGAGGCATGTAACAGGGCCACTGTGGCCATGCAGTGTATACAGCGGTAGCTGATCTTCCAAGCGAAACACCTGAAATGTAGGACACTGAATTATAACTCAAAGAGAGCTTTAAATTAGTATGTAATATCAATATTGGCCATGCAAGAACAGTAAGCAGTGTTTTAGGATAGCTGAATCTATGGAAAAGCAGCTAGAACAGGAGATCTGTGCCTCAGCATCAATATAGAAGGTACGTGTTACACTGTTCATGGTTTCTTTACAGTAACAGCATGAGACAAAGTCATGATGCTAAAAATTTCAAGAGTGAAGTCATAATATAGTATTTTTCATATGTTGCCTATCCTGCGGTCATCAGTTATGTAACAAGTTGTGAAATAACTGAAATAAAGATGTAAATGCAATAATTATATCAGTAAGAAGATTAAGAATAAAGATCAGAAGCAAATAGGATTAAAAACAAGTATATGTTGTGAAAATTAAGAATTACTTCATAAGTAAAATAAAACCCAGCACTCTTAAAAATAAGCTCTTACATAAGAAAGCAACTACATTTTCTATTTCCATTCATCAACCTTAATGTTGATATAATTGGAAATTACATTACAATAAATCAAATACAGCAACTGAATTCTTGTGCTAGCTGTGTAACTTGAATTATACACCAACAACTTTGGGGGTACAAAGTTGAAGAGAAATTATATCTGTGGGTACGCGAACAAAAAAGGTTGAATACCACTGAACTAACGCACTCGATGCACCAACCTTAAGTGTGTGATCTTTGCTGCCAGTGAGGACTCGCCCTCCTTCTGAGTCCAACACCGTGATTGGCTGTTGGTGGGCTCTGACCGTCTTCAACTGAATGCAACGCAGATCTTCGTCACTGCCTTTACGGTCCCTGATGGTATTCCAGTCCATAATTGATCCAGTGCTCCCACTCCGCACATGAGCTGCAAAGTGACCCAACAGACTGCGTAAGAACTGAAGATAATATCAGACTGCTCCAATTTTGGAAAATGATGCCAACAACTATGTGAAGGTGTGTGGTAATGACTTCATAATTTTACATTTTTCATATATTATACAAACCTTCCAACTCCTACTGTTGTTCCCTTATAGCTCTTTTACTGCCCACTGCATTAATATGTCTTGCTTTCAGTTGGTATATGTGACCTTTGGATCAAACTGATTTAACCTCATTTTAACTTATAAAAATTTAATTGAGGTTCAAGCCTGTGCCCCAAAACTCACAATTTTAAAAAATTTCTTAAATCTGTAAGTAAGTAAACTGCTATTCCACATTATGCATTTGTTGGTGGACAACCCAAATACATGCAAGATGCCTGTCACCCGGTAAAAATCATAACAAACACGTGTTTAACACAGTGAATGCTACAGAGTCATACACCCAACACTCATCAAGACGTAATCTGGCACAACTCACTCCTTCTGTATGCAGTGAAACCCCAGTCCATCTGACGTCCATAGCTGTAACTCTCCAGTTCCAGAAAGTCGACCACGCCGCTCAATTTTGCGGCCACCACCCGATTACCTATTATCTTCACAGATGTTATTCCAACGCCACTCCCATCTTCAAACAGGCACTGTAAGAATACACACAACAACTTGCAGTGCAATGAACTAACGATAGACAACAAGCCTTCCTCATTCTGGAAATGACATAAAATTTTTGAATCTAAAATTTAACTCACACATGTTGATCTCAGAGTAGACACAATGCAATGTCAAAAGGTGGCTAAACAGACGTGAAATTTTCCTGCCACAACATACAATGCTGAGCAGAAGGACAAACAAATTCGATGTAATCAGGAAGCTACGGAATTAAAACATTTAATTCAAACAATAATGAAACAGAACTGTGGATTTAACATTTGGAGAGAAACAGAGACAATACAATAACTACACTTATCTATAATTACAAAACCTCCAGCTAGAAAAGTTGGTTTGACCAAATAACAGCAGCGGAAACGGTAAATTACAGCTCAATATACAATATACCTTGAATGTCCCTGTGGACCCTTCCCAGAATTCTAGCCTGCCACTGGCACAGCCTACTGCTATGAGATTCTCGTGACAGTCGAGACACCAAATGGGTGGAGTCTGCTGTGCACAACAGCCAACAGTCAAGCTCTCTCTCACGTGGCACAGTGCACGAGGCTGTCTCCTTTCTGCTTTAGCTGCCCGTGATGACGTGCTGCCTGTATTCACGGGCGACGAGTGGTCAGCAGTCAAATTAGCGCTATCAACACCACAAAGAACCTCATAGAAATCAGTATCTGTCTGTCTCCTGTGATAACTGTCTGGACTAAAAGAACTACAATCAGACGAAACACTTTCTAGTGCCTGCGGCGCAACCTTGTCACAACACTTCGAGCCTGATACATCTCTTTTATAACGCTCTGCATCACAAAGGCTCGCTCCACCCTGAAACTTCTGATGTTGAATTATGCCACAAATGTCTCCAGGATCCTGACACTGGCAACTCTTGGAGACCATAGTTTCCAGAGTTCGTTTTGATGGTGAGGATACAATATTCTGTAGGTGGACTGCGGGTTTGTTTGGATGTGCTTCTTTCACTGACGGAGAAGACCAGCTGCCGTCCTCATTCACGTCAGACTCTAGGGACTTCCTGTGCTCCTCGTACAAATTCTGAAACCTTGAGGTAAAGTCAAACCCACTTGTACAGACATCTCTGACTTGGTTTGATGCATCACAGTCACCCACTTTGTTTCCAGTGAAGTTTATGTTGATTACAGGACGGAGGTCTGGGAGATTCCAGAGCACAGAATGTTTCTTGTGATGAGACAAGAGAGGGGAGGAGTCATCCCCCATACCTGTTCTCTCCCCACGGGAAGGGGGAGAACCTGACTCATAATCAGACAGAGGTGGTTCTTCAAGGTCAGCAGTGTCCGGATCCCTCTGCATAGCCAAGAAGTAACTGCAAGGCGGAATTTACCCATCAGACAAAATCATACTGTTTAAACTTTTAGTCACATTTACATTCACCCAAAGTGAGAGGAACGGAGAGGGGATAAGTGGCATATATACATATGACGGTTTAACTCCTTTGAGTAGTATACCTGTCAGACAAGTTCCATATAAATCAACACTAATTTTTACACAACGCAAGTTATGGGTAGAATGCAGGCGGAACTTACAAGTGTGGAGTAAACAGTAGGAAGTTGCAGAACACCAAATATGTGAACAGTTGCAAGTAAAAGAGGTTAGTAAGTATGAAAAAATAAGCATATTCTCAGTTTAGATAATGCTGAACACACTGAGAATGTTAGATTATCCTTCATTATTTTCATACTTCCATAATAACCAACTTAAAAAAGTATACATATTATCTAACCACATTAATTAGTTACAATTTCCAACATAAGAACTGCACTGTATTATTTTCTCCCTTCCCTCAACTATGAGAAGTGAATACGAAGGAAATACACTCAGTACATTCAGAGGCTGAGCAAGCAACAAAACAAAACAAAACTCACATTCTCCTGTCCACCACAGCGAGAGCTTCTCCAGAAATTGAGTCCCACACACGCAGCTGCCCTCCGAGACAAGAACTCACTACCATGCTGCCATCTGTTGCAAGGCACTCTACCTCTTGGGGATGACCGTCCAGGACAAGAGGAACGGCCTCCATCACGACCTGAAATCAAATAACAACAGAAAACGTGGTGTTGCTGCTGAGAAAAATATGCGGACAATACAGGGGAATGGAGAAAATTACACATAATGTGGAATTTGTTCAGCAGACATACAAATATGCGGACAATACAGGGGAATGGAAAAAATTAGACATAATGAGGAATTTGTTCTGCAGACATAGGGATTTGCTCAAATATTAACTGCAGAATGAAACTGACCATAAGGCAAAACAATTTCATACATTAAATCTTAACCTGCGTTCTCCTGTACTGAATGATGTTAATCCAGCTAAAATAATTATGTTAACTTCGAATTGTGATGTAAGTCGTGCCCGTAAATGTGCAAGTTTCATCTCCGGTGTTGGGAATTCTACATACTGAAAGAAGTCACTTTGGTCCCCAATGTACCACTGTCACCTCAGATTCACACTATCTCTACTTAAATTTTCCGAAAAAATAAGAAAGGCTCATCTTAGGAAACCAAAACATAAACTTTAATTTTAACACAAAATATTTTGAGATTTGGCACACAACAAATAACTAAATCTCTGGAAGCTGATATGTCTCACCTGTGTGGTGCCATCTGAAGTAACGCTCTCGCCATCACCTGCCCAGCTGGCCCGCCACTCTGCATAATTACGGGAGCAAACGCACCGGTACAGCATCACCATCGTGTATGCCAAGACTACAATGCTAATTATGCATAACACTGCAGTCAGGAACAGTTCCATCGGTGATGACGGCACAAAAGGCACTTCCCCACTGGGGACACTGCCACCAACAGATGTGATGCTGACTCGTGGGCCATTCCCAGTCTCGCCTCCATCTGCCAATGGCAAATAACATTGCTAATAAATCCTTCCAAACTGTGGGGAACAATAATAACAAATCTAAATGACATTCAGGTAGACAGGAAATGTTTCAGAGTATTTCTTAACCTTCTAGCAAACTGTCTATCAACCTAAAGCCACTGTTATGACTGATACCTACTGAATAATGATGACAGGGAAAGAACTACAGCTTACTTTAGATTCCTGAACCGTGGCAGAGGCCTGGAATACCCAATGCACAAAGTTTATTTTTACCTTTATCAGAACAGGAGGAATGTGAACAAATTTGGGTTTAATCTGGCCGATAGAACCCACTGCCAATCGAGATAAAGACAATGCAATGTAACATGAAGGCCCCAATGACCCTTATTCTTTGCTAAATGCATCATACCAGAGAAGTCCAGAGGGTCCAGGGCGGCAGCAAGGGCATGCCACTGGAAGTGCTGCACTGCCTTCTCATTAGGGTTGCGCAGAGCACGGGCCTGTTCCGAGGACACAGCATGGGACAGGCGAATAGGTGGCAGGATGCTAATGTAGTGACCTGATAGCGAGATGTTGTACAGAGACAGTATGGCAGGCCAATGATAGTGTGACAGCCTCCTCCACGGGTCACAGCCCATGTGTTTTAATCTCGCTATGGCATCGTTCTCCTTCCAACTCCTACTGTTGTTCCCTTATAGCTCTTTTACTGCCCACTGCATTAATATGTCTTGCTTTCAGTTGGTATATGTGACCTTTGGATCAAACTGATTTAACCTCATTTTAACTTATAAAAATTTAATTGAGGTTCAAGCCTGTGCCCCAAAACTCACAATTTTAAAAAATTTCTTAAATCTGTAAGTAAGTAAACTGCTATTCCACATTATGCATTTGTTGGTGGACAACCCAAATACATGCAAGATGCCTGTCACCCGGTAAAAATCATAACAAACACGTGTTTAACACAGTGAATGCTACAGAGTCATACACCCAACACTCATCAAGACGTAATCTGGCACAACTCACTCCTTCTGTATGCAGTGAAACCCCAGTCCATCTGACGTCCATAGCTGTAACTCTCCAGTTCCAGAAAGTCGACCACGCCGCTCAATTTTGCGGCCACCACCCGATTACCTATTATCTTCACAGATGTTATTCCAACGCCACTCCCATCTTCAAACAGGCACTGTAAGAATACACACAACAACTTGCAGTGCAATGAACTAACGATAGACAACAAGCCTTCCTCATTCTGGAAATGACATAAAATTTTTGAATCTAAAATTTAACTCACACATGTTGATCTCAGAGTAGACACAATGCAATGTCAAAAGGTGGCTAAACAGACGTGAAATTTTCCTGCCACAACATACAATGCTGAGCAGAAGGACAAACAAATTCGATGTAATCAGGAAGCTACGGAATTAAAACATTTAATTCAAACAATAATGAAACAGAACTGTGGATTTAACATTTGGAGAGAAACAGAGACAATACAATAACTACACTTATCTATAATTACAAAACCTCCAGCTAGAAAAGTTGGTTTGACCAAATAACAGCAGCGGAAACGGTAAATTACAGCTCAATATACAATATACCTTGAATGTCCCTGTGGACCCTTCCCAGAATTCTAGCCTGCCACTGGCACAGCCTACTGCTATGAGATTCTCGTGACAGTCGAGACACCAAATGGGTGGAGTCTGCTGTGCACAACAGCCAACAGTCAAGCTCTCTCTCACGTGGCACAGTGCACGAGGCTGTCTCCTTTCTGCTTTAGCTGCCCGTGATGACGTGCTGCCTGTATTCACGGGCGACGAGTGGTCAGCAGTCAAATTAGCGCTATCAACACCACAAAGAACCTCATAGAAATCAGTATCTGTCTGTCTCCTGTGATAACTGTCTGGACTAAAAGAACTACAATCAGACGAAACACTTTCTAGTGCCTGCGGCGCAACCTTGTCACAACACTTCGAGCCTGATACATCTCTTTTATAACGCTCTGCATCACAAAGGCTCGCTCCACCCTGAAACTTCTGATGTTGAATTATGCCACAAATGTCTCCAGGATCCTGACACTGGCAACTCTTGGAGACCATAGTTTCCAGAGTTCGTTTTGATGGTGAGGATACAATATTCTGTAGGTGGACTGCGGGTTTGTTTGGATGTGCTTCTTTCACTGACGGAGAAGACCAGCTGCCGTCCTCATTCACGTCAGACTCTAGGGACTTCCTGTGCTCCTCGTACAAATTCTGAAACCTTGAGGTAAAGTCAAACCCACTTGTACAGACATCTCTGACTTGGTTTGATGCATCACAGTCACCCACTTTGTTTCCAGTGAAGTTTATGTTGATTACAGGACGGAGGTCTGGGAGATTCCAGAGCACAGAATGTTTCTTGTGATGAGACAAGAGAGGGGAGGAGTCATCCCCCATACCTGTTCTCTCCCCACGGGAAGGGGGAGAACCTGACTCATAATCAGACAGAGGTGGTTCTTCAAGGTCAGCAGTGTCCGGATCCCTCTGCATAGCCAAGAAGTAACTGCAAGGCGGAATTTACCCATCAGACAAAATCATACTGTTTAAACTTTTAGTCACATTTACATTCACCCAAAGTGAGAGGAACGGAGAGGGGATAAGTGGCATATATACATATGACGGTTTAACTCCTTTGAGTAGTATACCTGTCAGACAAGTTCCATATAAATCAACACTAATTTTTACACAACGCAAGTTATGGGTAGAATGCAGGCGGAACTTACAAGTGTGGAGTAAACAGTAGGAAGTTGCAGAACACCAAATATGTGAACAGTTGCAAGTAAAAGAGGTTAGTAAGTATGAAAAAATAAGCATATTCTCAGTTTAGATAATGCTGAACACACTGAGAATGTTAGATTATCCTTCATTATTTTCATACTTCCATAATAACCAACTTAAAAAAGTATACATATTATCTAACCACATTAATTAGTTACAATTTCCAACATAAGAACTGCACTGTATTATTTTCTCCCTTCCCTCAACTATGAGAAGTGAATACGAAGGAAATACACTCAGTACATTCAGAGGCTGAGCAAGCAACAAAACAAAACAAAACTCACATTCTCCTGTCCACCACAGCGAGAGCTTCTCCAGAAATTGAGTCCCACACACGCAGCTGCCCTCCGAGACAAGAACTCACTACCATGCTGCCATCTGTTGCAAGGCACTCTACCTCTTGGGGATGACCGTCCAGGACAAGAGGAACGGCCTCCATCACGACCTGAAATCAAATAACAACAGAAAACGTGGTGTTGCTGCTGAGAAAAATATGCGGACAATACAGGGGAATGGAGAAAATTACACATAATGTGGAATTTGTTCAGCAGACATACGGATTTGCTCAAATATTAACTGCAGAATGAAACTGACCATAAGGCAAAACAATTTCATACATTAAATCTTAACCTGCGTTCTCCTGTACTGAATGATGTTAATCCAGCTAAAATAATTATGTTAACTTCGAATTGTGATGTAAGTCGTGCCCGTAAATGTGCAAGTTTCATCTCCGGTGTTGGGAATTCTACATACTGAAAGAAGTCACTTTGGTCCCCAATGTACCACTGTCACCTCAGATTCACACTATCTCTACTTAAATTTTCCGAAAAAATAAGAAAGGCTCATCTTAGGAAACCAAAACATAAACTTTAATTTTAACACAAAATATTTTGAGATTTGGCACACAACAAATAACTAAATCTCTGGAAGCTGATATGTCTCACCTGTGTGGTGCCATCTGAAGTAACGCTCTCGCCATCACCTGCCCAGCTGGCCCGCCACTCTGCATAATTACGGGAGCAAACGCACCGGTACAGCATCACCATCGTGTATGCCAAGACTACAATGCTAATTATGCATAACACTGCAGTCAGGAACAGTTCCATCGGTGATGACGGCACAAAAGGCACTTCCCCACTGGGGACACTGCCACCAACAGATGTGATGCTGACTCGTGGGCCATTCCCAGTCTCGCCTCCATCTGCCAATGGCAAATAACATTGCTAATAAATCCTTCCAAACTGTGGGGAACAATAATAACAAATCTAAATGACATTCAGGTAGACAGGAAATGTTTCAGAGTATTTCTTAACCTTCTAGCAAACTGTCTATCAACCTAAAGCCACTGTTATGACTGATACCTACTGAATAATGATGACAGGGAAAGAACTACAGCTTACTTTAGATTCCTGAACCGTGGCAGAGGCCTGGAATACCCAATGCACAAAGTTTATTTTTACCTTTATCAGAACAGGAGGAATGTGAACAAATTTGGGTTTAATCTGGCCGATAGAACCCACTGCCAATCGAGATAAAGACAATGCAATGTAACATGAAGGCCCCAATGACCCTTATTCTTTGCTAAATGCATCATACCAGAGAAGTCCAGAGGGTCCAGGGCGGCAGCAAGGGCATGCCACTGGAAGTGCTGCACTGCCTTCTCATTAGGGTTGCGCAGAGCACGGGCCTGTTCCGAGGACACAGCATGGGACAGGCGAATAGGTGGCAGGATGCTAATGTAGTGACCTGATAGCGAGATGTTGTACAGAGACAGTATGGCAGGCCAATGATAGTGTGACAGCCTCCTCCACGGGTCACAGCCCATGTGTTTTAATCTCGCTATGGCATCGTTCTCCTCTGTGGCCTGAAACACGTTCAAAGGTAGTGATGACAAAGTATAACAGGCTGTAGTACCCTAGTACAGTCACACCAGTCGACGACTGGAAATGAAAATAGCATACAACACTGCTGTCATATTATTCTCAATGTACATGCTCCAACCAACACTATAATTCATTTTATAAGCATATGAAACTTACATACAGATGTCTGAACAGATCTTAAAGAAACACCTTGTCAAGGTGTGGACTGGATTTAACTGGTGCAGAACAGAACCCTCGCTGGGTTTTTGTTAATGCAGCAGTAAACATTCAGGTTCTGTAAATATGGGAAATTTTCAGACTACTCAAATGATTATTAGCTTCTCAACAAGAACTCTGCTCCATGGTGTTAGCTGGTTATATAAGGAAATATTGAATTTGTTCTAAGTCATGAAATTGGAGAACTTTGATAATGCAATCCTAAACCTTTGTATTCTAATACCAGAGTGTTATTTAAAATGATCTCCAATTCCAATCTGTATGACCTTACCTCAGGCCTGTCAGCAACTCCTCTACCCTTCTTTGGCTCAGCTGCCGAAGTCGGCGCGACTATCTTGGTTTCTTCCGTTGCCATTGAATGTAAAATCTTCAGATCCACACTGCCAAATTCTGGGTGAGCTCCAGCGGGCACTTCATAATAATGCCCCACAGCTTCTGGGTGTTCACCCAGCTCTGAGCCAATCAGTTCATCCCTCTCCGAGATGCCCGACAGGTTGCTTTCCTCTATCGTCATCTTCAGCACATGTACTAAAACACCTGAACTGTACATAATGACAGCAATCCACACAATCATGCACACCATAAATGCTCGCTGAAATATCCTTGTACTGGCCCAGAAATGAACCAACCGCAGACGTTTTGGAACTTTTGCCACGGCAGGAGGCGAATTTGGTGGTGCAACAACATCTGTAGGGTAGCTTGAAGAGCTCAGTCCATTGAGTCTAGGATGTGACTTTGACCTCACTATGTTATAAGCATGTGGTTTGTGCAGTCCCGCAGGACTAACTGGAACAGGAGAACGGAACTGATGTAACGGAGTCCGGCTAGACGTAGAAACCTGCGAGGGGCCATACTGGATTCGCTGATGCTGTGATTCTGAAGACAATTCCATCCGTCTAATATCAATAGCAAGAACAGTGGAGAAAAATAACATCTGCAGGAAGTAATCCGATAAGAGTCCAACAACAGCAAAGATGCAGAATTCCTGAATGGCTGGTACAAATGTGAAAAACCCCACTGTGAGGATGGTAACCTCAATAAGGAGGTTCTTGGTTATGCTCCAACCTTCACGACTCAAGCCTTTTGCCACTCGAATCTTCACGTCCAGGTGCGTAGGAGTCGACACCACCGACTTGGTCAGGACCAGAACGTTCTCGAGTCCGACGATTACAACAAGGTATGGAAAGATCTCCTTTCCTGTCAGTGTGAGAGTCAAGCCAAAGAAGAAGCAGAGGCCGACAGACATGGACAGGGATGCCAGTACTGTTACCACTGCACTGAACGCCATGCCCACTTTAGACTTCACGAGCTCAATCTTGCGCACAGAAAAGTACATGTACAGGAACAGAATGAAGTAAGTGACAGTCAAGGGAACAAATTCGCGCAGGTTGAACTGGCCAGGAAAGTAAATGTGCAGTATTTTCTGTGGCAACTGTGTCACAACTGAAGTGCCTTCGCCACTATTCAGCTGATGGGAGTTGTGAGGCTGGTGCAGTGGATACATGTCAACCAACTTCTGCCTCAGTCCATCAACAAACCTGTTAAATGAGAAACAAGAACTTCAGTACTCATCAGATAAATCCTAGCTCAAAAAATACAGAACTGTAATTTCATTTGTAGTTTAGTATTCAGGCCACCATTCTGTGGGAAAATCAGAGTACACAAACTGCTGACAAAAATCTTTATATCTGAGACAGATTTAACATGGATTGGATAAAATTACAGAGTGAGCAGCTTCACTGACAATATTTATTCTACGCCTCGTGTTCTTAAATCAAGGGTGCGACAACTACTTCACACGGATAAACCAGAAAAGTTGCAGGAATTGTAATTATCGACTAATCAAGGATTATTTTGTACATGAGGAAAGCCTTTATTTCTGTTATCTTCCTTCAAGGGGACAAGAGGGTGATTGTGTATGATATAAATCAAGATAATCTCAGGATTGCTGCCACCCTTACCTGGGGTCGTACTTCTGGAGCACAAGAGTAATAGCATACTGCAGCACCCGCTGTCGAGTCCGCAGAGGATATCGCTTGATCCCAGTGTCCTTCATGTGCATCCCAAACAGGATCTCGGCCAGGCTAATCTTTCCTTTCTGCAGGTTCTGAAAAGTAACAAATATCGCCAGTGTCACCAAGCACCCCCATCCAAAATCACCAGACCATGATGAAGATAATAGGTGTCTGTGATGTATATGTGGAATGTAACTGACTGGGGCAGCATGTAACAACAGGTCTTGGGGAGTCAATCCACTGTGGGTTACTGTGAACACCTAACCTGGTAGGTGAAGATGGTTCCCAGTAGGTTTGAGTCCTCCTGAAACTTCTCACGGTTCTGTTGCCAGAGGTTGGCAGGTGACAGGGCAAGGCAGTTATACTCAGGCAAGGCCATCTTCTTGTCAGATTTCACCTTCGCTGACTCAATGTGTAGGCACATATGGTTCAGAGATGTCGAACTGACAACACAACACAACATTAACTACACATTATAAGGCTCCAGCATAGAGTTTCGATGATGGTGGAATATAATGACACAGGCCACAAAAAATATTTAAATCTGGCTACTGTAGGGTTAATGTCTTTTAATACCTTGCGTTCTCAATCTTGCTTCACAAAACAATTTTAATTAGTTTCTTTGTGTGTGTCCATGGTGACAAAGGATATAATTTTAAATAAGGAAATGACTCAAATAATTTGAAAGAGGCATCATTAATCATGAAACTTGTTTGATATCAAGAAACATCATGTATTTACTGACCTGCATAAAAAACCAGCACTTATAGTTAATAAGACATCAGAGCAGAGCATTACTGACCTACTATAAATGACCAAATCAGTATCACCTGGTTCCATCAGTGAAAATGTTCAACTTTTTTTTAGCAGAATGCATAACAGCATAAAACAACTTAATCTTTTTTGTTAAATTAATGAGCAAAATCTTATTATATGAACTTAAAATGATAAAGTCTTACAAAAAGTGGAGGTTATTATAGTATACAAATGTTAATTATGAAAAATATTAGGGACCACATGCCCACCTGTTCTCCAGCTGGTAGTTGCGTATCACTTCAAGCAGTCTGAACACTTCTGCTAATGGAGCACGAAATGCATCCGTCAGAACCAGGTCTTCAGTCCAAGGGGACACTGTAGTCCTCATCACAATCTGCAAAATGTTTCATAATATGAACACTACGAGGGGTTCCTTCCTAGCCACAAACACTGAGGCAGCATCCTCAAGCAGTCCCCTCCAAATATTAAGAATGATCTGCACGGAACATAATCATGGCATCATCAGGACAATAAACTGAATTCAAAGTGTACCCCACCTGCTGCACAGAACACATGGGTGGGCCAGTAAACCATCGTGGCAGCTGTGCATCTCCAAGTTCTGAGTTGTTGTCTCTTAGCAGTGAGAAGTTTCCCAGCAGCTGCTGTGGGACATTACCTGGCAAAGGCAGGTTCAGAAGTGGGTAACTGAAATCAACACACACTGCATTTTATTGGCAAGCTACTGCTTTCTACCCCATCGCTTACTGATAATGTCCAACAGGCACCACCGTCATTTACGCAGACAGTGGACAGTGTTCAGAGTTGAACGGAAATACTGAGACAACATTACCAAATCTTCAGAACTATTAAATTCACTTTTATACGGCTTGCAATTTTCTCTCTACATATCACCTCTAAAAATTAAAAATCCATTGTTATGAATTCTAAAATTAGGTCACACAGAAGAGCCCATTCTTTCAGAGGTATGTCCTTGTATCTCCGCAATAACAAACTTACCAGCACAGCAGAACTGTGGCAATAGCAAAACTGATAACAGGAACAGGATGGCTGGAACAGAAAAGCCCGTGAGCATAATACAACTGACCCACGCGTTCCGGCAGTGTTCGGGTTGGTTCTCGGCTGCTCTTGCCTTGTGGAGAAGCCATGGACAGCAGGAAAAGCTACCTCACATCCATATCCCTGCGACAGAGAGCAAGGTCATCTCTGGTTTATTTTTCAGCAGAAAGCCTCAGGCATCTCCACATAAGAATCAGCATATACACACAAAGGAGTAATGTTTATACACATCACAGAAAGGAAGCAAAGGGATGAAGGCAAAAGAAGAACAAAGATGAAAGAAAACAAAGGGAGGGGGAGACTTGAAAACAAAGAGAATAGAGACAGATTAAATAAAAAGACTCTTTACACAATAAACATTGAGTGTTTTCATTATATTTCTTATGATGTTTGCCTGCTACGCCACCAAGGGCATGTCACCTGACTGCCTGAGACAGCATACTAATGGAATCATCTCTCACCAACTCACAGTCAACAGGACACATTACTGATCCTGTTCACACAACTAATTCATGTAAGATAACGTTTTAATAATACCCTAGTATTGCATCTGTCTTTCAAACGAAGAGGTTTCCCTGGTACGAGCCACACACACACACCTCCTCAACGCTAGATTGATAAGAGAGGTCAGCTTCAGAACCCATAAGACTGAAGACTTTATAGAACATCAGGGTAGCATTTGCCTGCTCAGCTACAATTCATGCAAATTTATGAATATAAAACCAACATCTATGCACAAGCTCACTAGGAGTACATTATCATGTCACACAGCACAGAATTTTCAAACTTTTTATAGACTCAAATTCATGGTGAATTTCACAGAGACAAAATGAGGTGACAGAAGTGACAACTACTCTGCCTCCATGCTTTGCAAATTTTATCTCTTATTTCGTAGTGCATGTGCGTACGTGTGAGACACATACATCACAGTGCACTGTTCACTATCGAAATAGTGAAGCCAAGTTACAAGTACATGTTGTTTCACAAACTCTTTTACATGCCTAATTATCACAAGACTCACAATAGCGAATGTAAAACCCTAAACCGAAGGAAAAAATTTGTGGTCAAAGATCTTAATATCTGCAGCAGCACACAACTGAACCAATAATTTAATTTACCACAAGGCCACTAAATATCACATCATAATTTTCCAAGATTCATTTTAATATTATCCTTCAATCTACACCTTCACTTTTCTAAGAAGTAAACAAAGACTGGGGGCTTTAAATCCTCTCTGAAAACAAATCCAGTACACAATCATCGGAGGCACAAGTTCTGATGTCATAACAAGCTGCACTGAACACAATGGACTTCCTCTGCTGTTTCCAGTTTGACATTGAGCTAATTCAATGACAAGAGCCTGGCAACTGGGGCACTGACATTTCACTCAGGGGGGTCTGTAATCCGCAAGTAAAGATCATTATAAGATGGATCTTAGAGAAATCCATAATAAGATGTGAAATTGCTCAAAATAGGGTATAATGACATTATTTTGTATTGATTATGGAACTGGCCAGCTCTTCAGTTGTTTATGTAACAAAACCTTGAAACACATGCAAGGTCTCCTCCCTACCAGTGTCTGTGAAACACTATTAAATCATTTATTATTTATTACGCTAAGAATTCAACTCACCAGCTTTAAATAAACCATGAAACAGATAAATGCAACAGTGCATAGCAGACCTAACTGTAAAATAAAAAAATGTAAGTATAAAAAGATGCTAGATTTTGAACTTTTTTATCTTCAAATTGCATGAACATGAAACAGTCATATACACTTTTTCCTTTTTTACAATAGTGGTAAATAATAGGACCGAACCTAAAACCTTTTGAACGCTGGGCCAGCAGAGTAATCACTAGACCTGCAGGGCAGCCCATGAATGGTAACCGCTGTAAGTCTATATATGTCACACATATGGCCCCTTTCTATACCACAGTAGAGGGAGCCACATGGGACCTCACATCTATCCTGTTCCATTTTTCAAATGAATACAGACTTTAATTTTTGTAGTGATCTAGTTCATTGCGGATAATTTCTGCTTTATCGCACCGAATTCAGGACTCCTCATTCCAAAGAAGTGATTTGCTATTTATAACTCGGACATTTCTCCTGTTTCCGCGTAACATTTTTCGGTGATCCTGGCTCGAAACCACCTACCTGGCTATCCCTACATTTCTTTCCACACTCACACTTAGATTTAAGGTTTACATGCGTCATGTTTGTGTTTTGGATTAAAATATATAATAAAATACAGGTCAATACACAAAACTATATTTGGGTGTTAAAATTTAAAATTTAAATGTTAAAATTTAAAATTTTAAATTAGCGCTATTCATCACTATAAGGATGTTACATTTGAGTGCTTTCATTCATTTCACAACATGTTTCGATGTAATACATCATCTTCAGGTGTTGTTTTTTATTTAAAACTATTTTATATTATAATGCATGCCTTTCAATAATTTATTATTGTAATATGTGTTTCGCTGGTCTTCTCATTTTTCCCATCTTATGTTTGTTTTGAATTATGCATAAGTCGTGTTGTGTGTATTGACCTGTATTTTATTATATATTTTAATCACACTTAGATGCTGTATACTGCATACAATTTATCAGTTCCTACAGTTCATCTTTTAGTTTAGTCTCCTTAACATTAACATACCATGCGATGCTGTGCTCATGATTAACAGTAACACAGCCAACATGTTCAGAAATGTCTATCATGTCTCATTGTCCTTGCTCAAATTTATCAGCCAACACCAGACCAATCAGATTACTTGTTTACCTGATGACCTAAGGTTGATTACTATTCCTGAAAATTAGATGTTGGAAAGTTACAACACGGACATCATACCCTATGTCAGAAGTTCTCAACCTTTTCGAAATTTAGGACCACATTCCCTCTCCATTACCAAGTCGCAGGTGGCAAGGTTATAAATGAGAACTCTTTACTGAAATGTCATTGTGATTGGTACTGCCAAGTAATGTTTACATTAACAGATCATGTTTTCTAATGTCAGGTAGCTATTCTTGCCATGAAGTGTCACAGTATTACAAATGATGCAAAGAAACACACAAAAAAAGAATCACTGGTAAGCCATCAGTTGAGAACCCCTGCCATGTTTTAGTTCAATCATGAAATATGGAAGAAGACTGAGCTTATCTTCTGCTTAAATGCACGCATGACATGGTACAGACAGTGACCTCTATCCTCTCTGAACAGTTCATTCATTACATAACAATCTCAAGCAATATACAATGGTCTGTGATTGTCCAATTAAAGTATCAAATGACTTGGAATCCAGAATTATTACTTCCCAGTAGCACTGCAGCAAAGAAATAAGGTTAAGGAGCACTGAGAAATTTACACAAATATTATCATCACTGCCATCGATCAGAAATCCATATTACAAGAATGAAAACTAGTTAAGAATTACAAATTAAAAATTACAAGTTGAGGTCTTGCAGTTGATTGTTAAAATTACTATACATATTCTTCATTCCGGTTAAGTGAGTTAAAATAATTCAGAGTTACATACAATGGGTAAGTAGTTATAGATAAATTCTTGCAAATATAGACAGTAGCATATATATTTTAAATTATAGAAATTTATTCATTTTACACATTACTTAAACTTTGTGTCCACATATACACTGAATACATGCTTTTTACTGTATTCCATGAGTTAATTTTCTTATTTGATTTTATTATTATTTTATTTTCTTATCCTCATTGTTAAATCCCTCTTCTTTAAAATTTTAACCTAAAATACATCAGCAGTTCCACCTGTCTCTTTAGACACATGAAAGTAACATCAACACACTTCCTCACAATAAATTCACAACATTCTGCACAAACACATCACGCATTATTCACAACACACCTCTGTATCCCCGTATCTCCAGCGAACAAAACCGAAGTAAGTTCCAGCTTCGGAAAATCCTGATAAACCAAAAGCCGTGCGTCAATTTTTATGTCAAAGGTCATCTTGGATTTTTCCCATTTTTTGTACTTTGTAACTGTCCTGTCCTACCAAAATTTCATAAACTCTGTTTTTTGGTGTCCTTCAACTGTCAGTCCAGTGAATTAGCTGTTTCACTAACTTCTATTCTCCCATTTTTTATATGTCCACAACAAAGTACCAATTTATCTGCACAACTTTGCCATTTTATTTCTAATCTCCATGCTACATCACCTATCAGATGGTAACCTGCAGATAAATAATAATGTTATTCTTCTGAGCTGTGATGAAATGTAGACTAACTGGTGGATACCAATGTTCCAGACAAACATACTGTCTCCATCTTCAGCCCTGCTACACAACCCAAAAGAACAACATGTTCATCCTCACCACTGCAGAACCTCAAATCTCATACAAATAAATACATCTACTCAAATACTTTAATCTCACAAAGTTACCCAAACGGTAGCTGGAGTTACTTCCTTGAGCTTATGCGTGAAATTCACTACCCACTTCCATCTAGTGCCGAGTTCTAGAGCATGTGGAGTTTACCTTCACACATCTTAAAATTATTTATGACTTGGTATGGCATGGAAAGTGTTTTTTTAAAACAAGGTCATTCAAGCTAAAAGTAGTCAAAGACAGAACTTTAAGCAGTAGTACTTACTTGAACACTGCACTGTAAAGAAATGCAAGGTCAAGCAACACACATTAAAAATAATTAATGTTATGACTAAAAACATCAAGTTAGATATAGATGATGAGCCCTGGGGATGTGGCAGGAACAAAGAATAAATATTTTTACAAAGCATGGAAACAGAGGTATTAGAACTGAAAGAATTAACGCACATTTGTGACAAAAGTGAATAATCAGTTCTACTAGTGTAACTGCCAAACTACAAAGACACTTCTGAATAACTTATTTTCTAATGAACTGACTGACACATTAACTGATACACTTTCTGACTTGCTAACGAACCAATCAATAGCTTTCTTCTCAACGCAACTGTTAATTACCTGGCTGGACAATTTCCTGTTGTTAGTGAATACAAAAATGCATGGGAACCAACAATACTCAGTGCATATGCAGAAGTGATGGCATGCTTTTGCATAGCAATACAGATGAAAAAGGCCCCCAACTACAAAGAAAACTTTCACCTACACATAATTACAAGTGTTAATGGATGGCAATGTGGGTAAAAACACACAAAAAGTAAGCAATCAGCTCTAGCGCACAGGATTTTGAGTGATTGAAAGTTAATTCACTGATAAGGAAATTTTATATTCTTACTAAATCCAAAATTCATCACCATGACCATGGAAGCTCATCATTCCATAGCCAGTTCAATCCACTCACAACCTCAAAACCAATTTTTCAGGAATCCACTTTAATACTATCCACCCAGCGATGTCTTGCCTTTAGGATTTCCTGGTCACAATTGTATGTAACCTCTAAACGTTTCCATTAAGATTCGAAATGTTGTAAGAATGACGAAATTCATTATAAAAGTGATGGTGAGGGTATGTGATAATTTATGTATGAAAACTTACATTAATCCATGAATCATTCCCTTAAACAACAATTTCGTGTCTAAAAATTGCGTATTCATCAAGTACAACTTACATGAGTTATGCGAAGTATTGTCCCATTGATCAGGAACAATCATACAATTCTTAAATTATTTCAATGTCACTGAAACATCACATTTTCCTCTTGAACTTTATGCGCATTACACATTACTCTCTAACCAACGAGGTGGTCGTGGCCTCAGATAACACCGTCGTGGCTTGTTAAAGGACAATCATGTTTTTATGAAAAATTCGTAATTCAGAACGCCACCATGCAGCGTATTCTTATGAGAATAAAAAATATAACTAATTTAAACTTTGATCGACTATGTGGCTATGTGACGTATGCTCATACCATAGACCCTAATTAAATGTTTCTAAATACGTTCCATGTGCCTGAATATGTATATACAACTATTTTCCTTTTGTATGCTGAATGGTTGTCCACTAAAAAAGTACTTTTAATACAAATATTTTCTCTCAGCAGATAACAGACCTGATTCAAAATTGGACATTTCTTGCACCCATAAATTTGGATTTCAACATTCTATGTCTCAGTAACAGAGGAAATTTTTGAAATAGACATACTTCCTAATCTAAAATTTTTTGTTACATTTTCAATCAGTCTACCTTAATGGACAATTTCAATTTCCCCCTAAAACTTTAGAATACAAGACTCTCCTGTCAGCAGCCACATACCTTCTCTAGCATTATTAATCAATTTTAGCAATGGACAGAAGCACTCACTCACCAACCTTTGAGAATACATTCTTCAATACCATGACACAAGGCCAAGGAACTTACAAGAAATTGGAAGTTGCTGCAGCTACTGTGAACACTCATTAAAACATAATTGTCTTTACACAGAGATGCATAACCACAGTGCTCCGGAAAATTCAAATTGGTTTCAGGCACCATTTCAGCCCTGCTCCATCACATGTAGATCTTATCATATTGGACCCATCTAATTTTCTGCTTGGACACAAATTATAAAGCATGGATACACAAAATAAAACACTGCTGTGGGCAATACAGCAAATTCATAGTTCATACAGGATCACATATTTCCAAAGGAACTGAAAGGTTACCAAAAAAATTTTCACCATTTTCACCACACCTTTATTTAGCAATATAAACACATTTTGCCATGAAGGTCCATTACAAAAATTGTAACATACATACATACATACATTTATATAACTGTAGACAACCAAATATTTCACAACTGTATGGTTTAGAGTAAGGCACAAGAGAATATTTATAAAAATTACACTTAAAATTTTCAATTACATTGTGCACAATAAAGTTGACTCAGAAATAACCCAAGTTCAAGGCAAAAAGTAAAAGATACAATGGATTTATAAGCACCAAGATATTCTGACTACTAGTATACAGTATTGATTGAGTTCAAAATAATAAAAGTTTATTGGATTCAAGGCAGATAGCAGATAGAACAGATATTCCATTCAGTAGCTACCAACCATCCATCCATCCATCCATGCATTAGTTCCATCTCCTCATTCTACCATCTATGAATTACAAGTTATTTGTGGCCAGGCTTTTGCTGCTATGTCAATGTTTATAACGTACTTTCCACACCTCAGGCTTCATATTACCGAACTACAGCATTCCAAATCTATCCTATGTCAGATTTCTACTTCTTATGAAAAGTACACTAGTATTCTAAGACACCCTTGATCAAAAGCCGAGGTCTCTTTTATAAAGTCCTCTTGTTATCTTCACAGAAATGTTCACTGGGATTATTATGTGAGCAGCTGCATGTTTTTGCAAATCAAACTGCATTGCTCTGAAAGAACAATTCATGGACCCTAATCCAATTTTCTTCTCAACATTTAACATGAGTCACACGGGTCAAACCTGGCACTCCGCTTGGCTCTTTTGTGTAAACATTCTGAAATACATGGTTAAAAGGCCAAACAGCTACCAGGACTTCAAAATGCTATTTTGGGTAATCTTACCACTATGTTTATTAGTCTCTTACAGTGCATGTTTCTGTTATAAATAATGAAAACATTCATGCACGTCAGTAAATATAATAATGCAGCTCCCATTTTGACATTACACATATTATTCTGAATTAAGCTCTTTGAATGATTACTCAAAGTATGTCATAATATTGTTACACGAGCATCCGTCCTGTGGGACATAACCAGCATCTATTGCAGTTACTGTTGTAACTGATAATTGGTGTCAAAGTTACGCCACTTTTGCCCAATCCACAACACATCGATTTATTTTCATTTGGAAAATTATATATTCACATTGTCTCCATACACCCAATGCTTAGAAGTCATTAAGTTACACAGCTGTTTTATGTTTAAAGTTTCAGGGTTATTCAAATTGTCTTTACTAAAGAAATGTTAGAACCATTTTTGAAAGCAATAGGCATCCTGTAATAGACACCACACACCGAATACATCTACTCATAAACCAAGACGTACATTAGCTGTAATCAACCTGCAAGAGTGATTATGTCGAACCCTTCACAAACGTTTATATACAAAACTATTAACACATTCATTCCGCCTGTCGCTAAAAACCTGTTTGGTTCTTAAGAAAACTGGGAGCAAGCAGTTATAGTTCTGTGCACAGTGTCTATTATATAAAATAGACACAAACACTACCATATAAAGTAAGAAATTGTCTGGATTAGTCTTAATATAAAAATATCCCAATATTCAAAATAATTAAAACCAAAGCAAACAATTTTAACACATGGATTAGGTCCATTGCACAGTAAGAATAGGTACCAGAAAACTTTTCAGAGATCATAAAATATCTAGAGCTAATGCTCCATAAGGCATGTTCTTTGTGCAATCTGTAATGTTCCTAACATCACTCAACCTCCTCATCGTGAAAACTAAATGTCATAAACAAGCAATCAAGTTGGTGTGCTTGCAACACAGCAGTGTGCACACATATTCAATAAACATAGATGTAAAGCATTACCAACATAACCATATTCAATTACAGTACATTTCAGTAAAGATCAACAAATTTACAAATTAGCTTATTTATCCTTCAAACCACTCCTTGCAGGAAAAAATTATTTTAAACCGATGACCTTCACCAGTCTCTCCCACCATGTATAATGAAAGACGTTGGTCAATGGATCACAACATGTGGTCACACGCATCTGTGCACAATTCTTGTTCTCAACGAGTGCACACTTCAGTGGTGTGGCGGTACAGTTTTCATCTCAGTTCTTCAGTATGGCAACACTGTGCTGTCTAGGCATAAAACCAACCACGCATTCAGGCGTGTGTCAATGTTCCAGGTGACCCAATCTCATTGCAGTTATTTATATAACTATTAATATTCTTATTAATGTTATTTATTACATTCTTATTATTATTATTATTATTATTGACATAGCAGCAAATAAAGATAACTACTTGTTTGTTCCAAATGTTGCTACAATCCTCCCTCCCTTACTACCAGTTCATCACAGTCTTAACAACAGATCAGATCAGATCATTTGTGTTCACCTCGCAAATCTCACACAAACCACTAAAAATTACACTAGCTTTTGGAGTCGGTCAGTCATGCACTATGTTAACGTGGCAGTGAATGTGATAACAACCCTTAATGCAACAGGGTTAAGACTTCTGTCAAAAGCCCTTCACTTATATCATCATAACATTAACATTTACCAAGTCAAAGAAAACTCAAAAGCCACAAATGTATTCATTCTGTCATTCAATTATAATTTCACCATCACACTCATGATATATTCCATTAAATGACATCCACAACCTTTAATAAAAGCAAAGTTCTGTCATTCCATCCAAAAAGTAAAACATGATATATACATACATACAAATGCAATCACAAGACAACAACCAGCGATATATAACATGTTCACACCTACAGAAGCACAAAGGATGTCATCTGGTCTTTTAGTTAACATTAGTCAGTGGAAGAAATTAACATCTCAATGATATATAAAAAATTGGCTGTAAATTTGTCTGTTGGGCGGCTGAGGTAGTCTGAAGAATTTCCAGCCACGTCTGTAAAAAAGTGCATAAAATGCAGTCTGCAATACAAAACTGAACTACATTTCCAAGCACATCCTGAAATTCATTTTCATTGTAATTTCAGGCACCAGAATAACATGTCAAAAAATTTACAAATTGTTACTTAGGGAAGTACATCATTTGTATATTACAGCACTGTGCGGCGAATTCCAACCAGCTCAGATTTACACCACTGGGTCTTTAAGACTTCAAAATTTTTATGACCGAACAGTTTGTAATCAAGGGCAGATGCAAGTGATGAAACGGTGTCTCAACTTACAGTACCACCTTAAAATAAAATGACGCATTACAAAATCACTTGGAAAATTGTAAACAACAAAGCTATTATGCTAAATACATCTGTATTCCTTCTAGAGCCATTTTGTGCCCCTAAAATAATACCATCACATTCAGATGGACTTAAAACAATACACTTACGAGCCAAACACGGAGAATAATTCCAAAATTTCAGAAACAAGTCTGTAACTGAGGATAAAAGAAATGGATACTTTGCAGTCATTCGATTTTCTACCAGATACGACGGTGCAATACTGACATCTGGCTGATGTGCTCTTATTTACCAAAAGCAAAAAAGATTCAACATATTAATGCCAGCGTTACAATATCCACCACCATCTTTTGGTCAATGTAGATGCTGTACACCTAACCTCCCAATAAAAAATACAGTTACAGAAATATTTTGCCTTGAGCACACACACTCTTCTAGTATGTTTCATATTTATAGTCAAATCAAAAATTAAGAGATGAGAAAGACAACGTGTGGCCAAGAAACTATGGACATTTTCCGTATGCAAAGTTCACTTCATATGTAAAGGCATATGCAAATTTAAAACTGAGAGTGCCAGTCTGTTCATCCGTAAAAAACTTGTTCTAAAACTGCACTATGACATGTGTATGTGTGTAAAGTTCAATTATTAAAAATACAGGTGTAATTTTTACCTTCAGAAATAAATTCGGAAAAGTGTAGCATATAGAAAGCGGAGAAATGTTACAAGGCAAGTGGTATATTAAAATAGCAATTTTAAATGCAACAAAACAGGCACTTTTGGAGCCCTGAATTCACTCTCACTCACAGGGTATATAATATGTACATGTCCGCACACCAAGCAGTGCACAGGAGGTCACATGTGGATCGTTGCTGCTGTATAGCGAGCCTCGCCCCTCTTCCAGCTCCACTGACTCGGTCGATACTGAAGGAACAAGCAAAATCCTTATTAGCGGGGAGAGACATGCTTGCGGAGAATTACTGCTTCGTGCTATCACCTTGTAAATAGTCTTTGAACTACATGAATTATACTTGCATAACCTTTGAGACCAAATGAATGAACTTCATAAAATATGTATAAAGATTAGTGAGGGAGTAAAATTTAAGATTAAGTGTCACTTTAGACAAACAAGTGGTTATGAAAATGGACACAGCAAGGACCTCTGAAAAGCTGGTAAACTTCTACCAGACTGCACGGTGCTATAACCCAGATGTGTTGGTAAAACAGACTTACCCTGATTAGGAACTGTCCAGATGTTGAATGGGGGTTCCTGTAAGCATACAGCACCAAGATACCCAGGCCTGCCACTAGCGCAATGACAAACAGGATGCCAATAATTCCCGAGACGCTCATGGGCACAGTCACATCTCCTGTTAACAATAATTATAACTGCCATCACTCTTGTTATTACATAAAACTGTAAACTGGCCTCAAACACATAATTATGATCTCTATACATTTCGGTACAAAGACAAGAAAGCGTAGCATACTTTCACACACTAAAAACAAAACAAAAATGCGAAGATGAAACAAACGCAAGCTATTTGCTGGTGATTATGACAAAGAAATGAGATTCCTGTCTTCACGCAAGTAACTCCAAACACTAAAAATATGTAAATCAGCATAACATCCGCCCCACCTACAATGGATCCAGCCCCAAGAAGAGACAGGTGTTAGCATAAGTAGTCAGCCACGGGAACTTAAAATGACATCGTAAGATTAAAACTGCTCAAATTTTGTAGCAAGTCGTAGTTAGCAATATTTGTAAAAGCAAAATGGGACTGATCACTGCTGGAATGCGGAGAATTACTGCTTCGTGCTATCACCTTGTAAATAGTCTTTGAACTACATGAATTATACTTGCATAACCTTTGAGACCAAATGAATGAACTTCATAAAATATGTATAAAGATTAGTGAGGGAGTAAAATTTAAGATTAAGTGTCACTTTAGACAAACAAGTGGTTATGAAAATGGACACAGCAAGGACCTCTGAAAAGCTGGTAAACTTCTACCAGACTGCACGGTGCTATAACCCAGATGTGTTGGTAAAACAGACTTACCCTGATTAGGAACTGTCCAGATGTTGAATGGGGGTTCCTGTAAGCATACAGCACCAAGATACCCAGGCCTGCCACTAGCGCAATGACAAACAGGATGCCAATAATTCCCGAGACGCTCATGGGCACAGTCACATCTCCTGTTAACAATAATTATAACTGCCATCACTCTTGTTATTACATAAAACTGTAAACTGGCCTCAAACACATAATTATGATCTCTATACATTTCGGTACAAAGACAAGAAAGCGTAGCATACTTTCACACACTAAAAACAAAACAAAAATGCGAAGATGAAACAAACGCAAGCTATTTGCTGGTGATTATGACAAAGAAATGAGATTCCTGTCTTCACGCAAGTAACTCCAAACACTAAAAATATGTAAATCAGCATAACATCCGCCCCACCTACAATGGATCCAGCCCCAAGAAGAGACAGGTGTTAGCATAAGTAGTCAGCCACGGGAACTTAAAATGACATCGTAAGATTAAAACTGCTCAAATTTTGTAGCAAGTCGTAGTTAGCAATATTTGTAAAAGCAAAATGGGACTGATCACTGCTGGAATATGCTTCTTCTTCTTCTTCTTCTATGGCTCACCGGTCCGTATTCGGTCCATGGCCTCCTCAATTCTCCTCTTCCATTCGGTCCTCTGTTAGGTCCGTCTGTCCGAGGCTTTGATCGAGGTTTCGAAACGTCTTCCTTTTTACGGTGCGAGGTTGTTAGCCTTGCGACCAACCCCGAACCTGGAGGACCAGGGTACCTGTCTTGGTCTGACCTCTCCCCCTCGACCAATCTGGCTGCGGAGGCCCTACCAGTAGCTATGCTACTGGCTGGAATATGCTACTCACTGATATATTTGCCCAACATGTTATGCTGCATGTATATAGTAATGTTCAGGACAGAACAAATAAAAGTGTAATAATGACTAAATGTATTTGTTCACACATTCACACTTTTACACCAACATATTATGTAGACTGCTGACTGTTATGAACAGAGAGCAATGGAATATTAACAAAATAGAGTAAATATGATAAAGTATGGTGGAGAGAGAGAGAGAGACGAGCCACTCACCACGCATCGCGCTGTGCTCCCCAGTACTCTGAATGTGGTCAGTCTGTACAACACTGTTTGTATGACCTCCCATTCTATTACTCTGCGGTCCATCCTCCGAGTCCTGAGGGATGAATGACGAATTAGCAGGAGCAGGAGGGCACTGCGTTGTGTTGCTCAGTGCTCTCTTGTCACAACCCTTATAGAGCCAATCTTGGCGATGTCTGTCCATTCCAGATGAGCACCTGTTGACAGCCGGACACCACTGACACTGCAACAAGAGGAAATCATGGTCTTGACAGCAGAGTTCAATTGTCAAACTGACTGGCAGCAAACGGGAAGGAACAAGTAACTCACCTGGAAGTCTGTGGACATGGCGAGGCAACTGGCACAGTCATGCTGGTCAACGCACGTTGGCAGAGCATGTAGAACAATCACTGTCCAGTTCCTGATGTCCTGGCGATTGAAGTTCACGCGATGATATTCATAGATGGTCTTCCTGCGGACAACTACGACAAACCAACACACAAAATTATAAAATGTTTAACTTTAAGACAATTAATGCAGGCAGAATATTAAAGTAATTTTCGAATACATAAAATACTGTCAATTATATGAACTTAGAAACTGGTGGTACAGAAAATGGAACATTTTTTAATGGCGTCCGACAGCTGGCCTTTTTGTGAGTCAAGTTCCGTTACGAAAGAGCTAGTCAGACATACATGGTATCAATAATGTCAACATGCCAGGTAACTTACAGAAGATCGTTCTGTCAATGATGTAGGCGTCGGACAGCCCGACCTTGACTGGATGATGGTCGTCCTGTATGCTCTCAATCACAACTGGCACATTCTGATACACAAAAACAATGTCGCCGTTATTGCGCAGTGTTGCCTGAAATGTGAAGTCACCTGAATCTGGCTTGTCCTGCAGTACCACCTTCTCCCACTGCACAGTGAATGCCGTGCCTGTAAACATAAAATGAAGGCTATTTCAAGTTAAAATAAAAAAATCTTCATCCTCAAACATTGGCTAATTTACACTTCAAATCACACTAACCCTTTTTCTTCCAAATCCATATATATATGCTAGCTAGCCAGTATACTTACCACAACGCCAATCCTATATGCGTTTATTATGAAATAAACATTGAATTCCAAGATAAAACTGTCAATAAAGTTGAGGGTACACATTTTTCAGGGATTACCTACATCCTCCAAAGTGCTACATACTTGTTCCTATCGAGACAGCGGGTAATGTCCGAAGCAAAAACTCTAAAGACTGGTGTGCACACGTGCACTGTATGATATCAAGCTTACCATTGTCCACATACTTCACATAAGATTCATTGGAGATGCTAGTGTCAAAGTTGGCCATGAGAGGTGCTATGTACTGCGTTGCTGCAAGCCATGAATGGACATACTCCCCAGTATAGAGAAAGCCTCCGGTGGCTATCGTCACATTACGGACCAAGTGGCCGTAAAACGGAAAGTTAAACGACAACTTCACTGTCTGCAAGAAGAAACGGTGTTACGACTGTTACGTTTCGTGTTGTGGCAACAAGCATGCGCAAACAAGACTTTCTTTAAATTATTAAGTGTTCTTCAAGCTCCAGCGTGAGTGAGAAACACCTTATGAGCCCACCCATGTCTGTCTGAAATGTTTTTTAAAACAACGGGATCCAAACGTTTCGATTTCTGCGAAACGACGGGACATCAATTTGTGATTCTCCTGTTATGTAGAAAGAAAAAGTTGTCGGTGTAACCACGGTTCCGGAGAATTTGACGTAAATACGTCTATACGGAAAGGAAGTTTATATATTGGCTTTATTCTAAATATTTCCTTTATACATGCTTTACAATTGAGATAAGTTTGATTAAGACTTTGCTTATTCAACTTGAATTAGTTACGCTTAAGATGGGTCTGTGGTAGCTGAATGTAATGTAATGTAATGTAACGTTTCCTAGGTAACAATAATGCCGAGTAAACAGACGACGTTTTGTAGGTAACATAACAATGCAGTTACACTTTTTCATTTCACTTTTTGCCGAATGACACTGACCCTAAAATATAGACGTATTTACGTCAAAAAGTATCTTCACATTCCTATTTTTGAAAAGGCAGATGGGAAGAAACAAAACATTCCAAACTGCATGGTAGGAAGCATTCTTCAAATTTAATTTGTTCTTTTTATGTGTTACAAGGGCCCCAAGTATCTGAAATTTACCAGACTCTGAAAGGGTTTGTTACATATTTTTGCATTTTGAAAGTATTATTTACAATTGACATAATTTAAACTTTTGTAGACACACTGCGTAATCAACAAACAAAACAAAATACATATTATACCCTGCAGATCACATGCCAAGTGCCAAAATATTATCACTTACTGCAGCTCGCCGATGTGACTGTGACAGCATGTCATTCACCTGAACGTCCGTTCTATCCGTCATATTCACCCAATACTGATGTCCCACCAGCTCATTGTTCGAAATGAACGAGCTGTTGTAGTACTGATGATAGTCCTGCCAACACCGCAAACATGACATTTAATGAACGTCCGTCACATACTTGCTGTGTGTTATTTGCGCTACGTGCATAAACAGAACACATATACGGGAAATCTAGTCCGTCCATGTGTACGTTTCAACTCAAGAACTCCTAGACAGACTCACACAACATTTTATATTAGAAATCCTCACAAAAATTTGTAGGGTAATTTCACAAACTCCAACCTCACAGCACACCTCAGTGCAGATTAGCTTAATATAATATACATTCAAAAACAATATAAAACAACATTTGTCTGTCTAATTCAGATAACAAACGTTGTTTTATGAATACTGTTCTCGAAGATTAGCACACGTAAGAGAGATCTTGAATGCGCCGTATGTATTTAACGGTCTGTATTACAGAATGACCGTCTTGTAGGATGTTACACGGGGCAGACTCAAAGAAACTGACCAACGCTTAACCCCCAGAGAAAGGACCCCCAGTACGCGCCGGTTACGAGGCTGAGCGGGCCCTGTAGCTGATGGATGCAGAGTACTGAAGAAAAAAACCCATGCCTCGATTGTGAACTGAACCCCAGTCATCCAGTCATCAACAGAAGCAGAGGAAAACGGTGAAGATCCGAGGATGACGCATGCAGCCTAGCTGCATCAGCGGAAACAAACATGCATTTGTTTAATGGCTTCCATATGTCTCAACCAAGAAGCAGAAGTGCATTCTACGTGACTTAGTCGGCAAAATTACCTGTTGATACTTTGGTATGTTATGATCATGAAGTGTGTTGTTATCGATCGGTTGTGAGAACTGGTCTATGGTGATGGTTATGTTAGCTTCATCCGACAACCCCGCATCTGATGAGTTTTCTGGCGAGATTCCCTTGAGCAACATCAACGTCGCATTAGGTCCTGCAAAACAAGCGAACGTACTTCTCAGATTCTGTTAACGGTGGAGACGTCAGAAGGAGGACAAAACGAGTTCTGCGCAGTTTTAAAACCTACAGAACTCTATTTGCCTGGGACTGTCGGGGCAATGCGCCTCAAGTGGGGATGGAAGCCTGGATGCGTGGCGGGGGGTATAATGGGACAGGAGAAAAGGTGGCCAGGACTACCATCCCCTTGTGGCAAGGAGATACATGAATTGGGTGAAACAGTTTTTGGTGTCAGCTCACCTTTGGTGTTACTGTGCGGTGGCACTGTTGAACTCACTGTCGTTACATTACTGTATGGAACCGTGGGCCCACTCGAAGCTGGCAGAGAGCTATTACTGGGGACACGCCATGAGGTCCTGTTGGGATCTTCCAGATTCATGGCTGTTCCATACCTCTCCGGTGTGAGAGTAATGTAACTCCCCACAGCTTGGACATGAGATCCAACTGGTGGTACCACTGTAGTAGCGCTCCCATTGATAATAGGCACTACTGTTGTTATCTGCAACTTTAGCTTTAAACCTTCATAAATCTTATCTTCGGCCCCATAGGAGCGACGAACAACAGAATGTCCTGACGGTAATTCACTGTCTTCGTAGTGGTAATACTGAACTGAAAGCAGAGAATTAATCACCCATAAAGTCTGCAAACAGGGCGACACTTAAGATTTCTGTCTTCTGGGTCGTTGTGCCGCGTAGTCTGTTGGCAATCTTCAGACTCACCGCCGTGGAAACCTCAAATCCTACAGAGCAATACTTACTATGGCAGATTTCACATTTTCCATTTCCTCCGAAATGACAGAATAACATAGAATGTGAAAAAAAAGGTGGCAATTTTTATGGCAACAGCACATGTATTTCGCGAATCGTGTAATAAAATGTAGTATTCTAGAAACTGAAATCAAATTACAGATGCTGGGTCTTCAGAAAAATAAATGTTACTGATATTTACATTTATTTCACTTAAGTTACAAATCCAGCTGTCATAATTATTTTCAAGCACAGAATTAAAAATTACATTATGTTTCAAGAATTCCTCTATGGGGGGGGGGGGGGGGC